CTATACCCTAAACCCCAAACCTAAAACTCCTGAACCCTAGAATCCTAAATTCCCCTTATCCCGAAAATCCCTAAACCCTAAAACCAGCACAACCTTAAGCCTCAAACCCCTCATGTAAGGCTTTGGGGCTTTTTTATCATACAAATCTCTCAGAAGGAACCCCCATAAATTTCGGTAATTATAAAGGCCCCTACATTACACCCCCGTAAGCTCCCGTTGAAGGTAGTATAGGTAGGTAACTCCCCTATATTAGGGTTTAGGGTTTAAGGGTTAGGGTTTCGGGGTTTAGGGGTTTAGGGTTTAGGGTTTAAGGGTTTAAGGTTTAGAGGTGTCGGGGTTTAGGATTTAGGGGTTTTGGATTTTTCTAGGGTTTGGGGTATCCCCAAACAGGAGCCGGCGAGGCCCAGGGCCCAGCTGAGCAGGGCAAGCTCCGAGCAGCCAAGGGCTGGGAGTCGGGACGCCAGGTCCTTTTAGTACTCGGATTCTGGGGTTTAGGGGTTTAGGGTTTAGGGGTTTGGGGTTTAAGGATAAGGGCGCTCTTTCACGGATTCTATAGAAAGGGTTTCTCGAAGGCTTGGATGACTTCACTTGAAATCCTAGACTCTAGACTTCATGTTGAGTGGGAGTTTTGGTTTGACGGTAAGGGTGTTAGAGTGTAGTAGGGCCCCGAGTTTAAGATTCAGAGTTTAAGGTTTTAGATTTTCGAGCTTGGGGTTAGAGTTTAAGTCTTGAGGCCAGTACGACTGAGGGAACCCGAGGTTTCTGGGTTTACAGTCATTTTGGCCTAGGATGTTCGCTGAAACCCGAAAGGAATGAGCAAGGGGCTGGTGGGAAGGGGTCGTGGTGGCTCATGCCGTGGTGTAGCTGCGGCCCATGCTGAACCAGGCCCATTCGATAATCGTGGCCCTTCTAGTCTTGGGGATGTAGCCTAAAAACAGCTTGTATACAATATGAGAATCCGGTACTTTACGCCCGAAAGCCTACGAGCCCTCAAGCTTAAACCCCAAATACTAAACTCTAAACCTGACACCTCACTTTCCTGGCTCCCGGAAGCCACAAAGTCTCAAGAAGGAAGGCACGCGTTGCCCTTTGCCGTTGAAGGGTTCGAAGATCTTTACCGGCTCCTCGCATAGGACGGCGGCAGCCAGATCGTCGCGGACCTTTGCAGACGTAGCCCGCGTTTAAGGTTTTGAGCTTCGGGTTTTGGGTAGTTCAGACTTGAGGCTCGTTGTTTTTCGGAGTCCGGGTGGGTGGAGCAATCCAGAAATCGCTCCACTCTCTGCCATAACTACCTCTCACCTGCACGACCTTCACCCCACAACCCCGTTTTCACGTCTCCACCCGTCGACTTAACCCCGAAAATGGGATTCCCAATGTCAAGCCCCTGTCCGCCCAAACTTGTTCCACAAGCGGCAACACTTGGAGACTCATGGGTGGTTATAAGTTTGGCTACAAGTATCATGGGTTCACTATAACACTTATAACCCCACTTCTAACTATCCATGAACCTGCGAGCACCCTAAACATCCCTAAACCCTAGTAACCTAATAACACTCAATATAGGGGCCCATTATACTATACTTATAATAAGGAACTCCGAAAATAGTATTGGTAATTATTGAGGCGCCTACAGTATAACCCCCCATTATTCCCCTTATAGTAATCCTTATAGCCTTATAGCCCCTTTAAAAGGAACCCCATGGCCCCTATAGTACCAGATTAACCCCACTTCAAAGCAGGTCCCCTGTGACCCAGGCCGCGAGCACAGCAAGCCCGGCCAGGGACAAGACCAAGTCCTCCAGGCCGTAATGTCGGGCTTTCATAGCCAGGATCAGGTTTGGGGTATATAGTATATTGTATTAAAACATACTATAATATACTATAATATACTATAATAGCATACTATAGTATACTATAATATACTTGATATACTATAATAGTATACTATAATATACTATATACGGCGACTATTGCAAGGGGATACGAATACCAATCATTCCAACCCAAGTACTCATCAGGAAGATCTGGAGGCCAAAGGCGGGTTTGAGGCGTTCTGGGCTTGGGGGGTTGATGAAACTAACAGCAGTATGTCTCAGAGAATAGGGTTTAGGGGTTTAGGGTTTAGGGGTCCCTATCACTGTGAGACTATCGTCACCAGCAACACGACAATCTCAAATGACATCAATGGTATATCTGCCACCACTCCGCACGGCGCACCACCACCGTCAGCAGGAAAGCGCAACTTTACAACACAAGACCTCCCAGATCGGGTAGGTGTTTGCTCAAGCTTGGGCTCTCAAGCTTAGGTTTTCCAAGTCAGGGGACTAAGGTTCTGGGTTTGGGATCAGGTTTCTGCAGTGAGGGTGTATGGTTCAGGGGTTAGGGTTCAGGGTTGGAGACCTTGGAACATTCAAGTTGAACCCGAAATTGAAAGTCCCTGGTGGGCAAAGCTAACATCCCACGAACAGCTTGTCCTCGGGCGCCAGTGAAGAAGCCTCCACAGTCGGTGAAATCACACGTGGGACTGGGTTGTACATAGGCGACCCACGTCATGTATCCCCACTGCCCTGCCTGATCTGCTAGCCGGTCCAGGGTAGCCGCAAGAGCCTGTGTGCGCGTGGGCAGCTTCTCAAGTCCACTTTGCATCTTGATTCTGATGAACATTTGCAACTACTGCGGCAAATCTAGATTCTGGCAACGACAACGACTACTGTCGTTGGCTCGGACTGTAGTAGGCTCTACCAGTAGCCTGTCCCTTCTGAGTTTACGGGTCGAGTTTAGGCTTAGAGTTTAAGAGGGTTTATAGAGCTTGGGTTTGAGGGTGAACTGAGCTAACGGCAGCATCCTCGTCTTCAGGTGCGTCATCCGGAGGACGGTCCACCTCGAGACGCCGGACACTGCAATAGATAGGCTTCCGAACTCGTGGCGAATCTTTCTTCAGGGAGACTTGTGGGGGGTTTTAGTGCTCAAGGTGCTCAGGATCCAAAGGTCGGCGTTTATGCCTACAGCCTCAACCCATGAAACCCTGCTAAAACCGCTATAAAACCCTAGATTCCCAAGATACATAAAAACCCCAAATTCGCACCGTCTTACTAAATCAACCCTAAACCCTGAACCCAAATCCTAAACCTCACAGGAGCCCCTGGCATCACAGTTTATAAGGCCCCCATAGTATGATTTTACCCCTATAGATCCCGTATAGAAGCCCATAAAATCCCCTTAAACTCTTGTTGGGGGGGTTCCTGATGATAGTTATCGTATAATGGCCCCAAAACCCCTGTTCTGATTATTAAGGCCCCTACACTAAACTCCGCCTCGGCATGGAACCCTAAACCCTGAACCCAAATCCTAAAACCTTACAGGATCCCCTAAACTCCGCCTCGGCACCATAGTATTTTACCCCTATAGATCCCTTATAGGAGCCCCGACCCTAAACCCTAAATCCTCGCCATAGTATCATTTTACCCCTATAGATCCCTTATAGAAGTCCATAAAGTCCCCCTTAAACTCCGCCTCGGCATGGAGCAGCAGCGCCTGCAGCACGGCGCCCCGGCGGGGTGCCGGGGAGGCCGCCAGAGCCGCCAGCTGCTCGAGGCTGAGGCTGCGATGCCTGGCTGATAAAGGGCTCCTTAAAGGGATCTATAGGGTTCCTTAAAGAATCTATAGGGTTTAGGGTACTAGGGTTTAGGGTACCATAATTGGGGTTACCAAATTAGGGTTTAGGGTATCAGGGTACTACAGTTTAGGGTCTACAGTTTAGGGTTTAGGGTTTAGGGGTACTAGAGTTTAGGGTACTACGGTTTAGGGTTTAGGGTTTAGAGGTACCAGGGTTTAGGGGTACTAGAGTTTAGCGTACTAGGGTTTAGGGTTTAGGGTACTACTTGGAGGTTCATGGGTTGCTATAAGTAGGGTTATAAGTCCCCTAATATATGTTATAAGTATAGTTATAATATCTATAACTCAGGGTACTAGGGTTTAGGGTACGAGGGTTTAGGGTACGAGGGTTTAGGGTACTAGGGTTCAGGGTACTAGGGTTTAGGGTACTAGGGTTTAGCGTTTAGGGTACCAGGGTTTAGGCTTCAGTGTACTAGGGTTTAGGGTACTCGGGTTTAGGGTTTAGGGTACTAGGGTTCAGGGTTTAGGGTACTAGAATACTAGGGTTTAGGGTACTAGGGTTTAGGGTTTAGGGTGCTAGGATTTAGGGTACTTGGAGGTTCATGGGTAGCTATGAGTGGGGTCATAAGCCCCCTAATTTGTGTTGTGACCCCAGTTACCCTACTTGTATCCTCACTTACATATCCAGCCATGAACCTCCAAGTAGGTACCGGTTTCTACAGCATTTTCAGAAGGGTTTCATAGCTTTCTTCATGAAGGGGGGGTTATCAGGGCTTTGGGTTTGCATAGGTATGGGCTATGTGTAGTTTCTAGGGCCCTGCTTGTAGAGCAGGGCTTTTGCAAGGTTCAGAATTTTGGGGTGTAGAGTTAGAGTTGTTGGTTTAGGGCCTGGCGGGGGGTGAATTGGTTTGGCTTCTGCAGGGCCTTCTTCCGCAAGCTTGTACCGGCACGGGTTTAAGCCAGGACTTTTGGTTGAGAGATTAGGATTAGGGGGCTGCATTTCCGGCTTGCCTTTTAACCAACCCTAAAGCCGGAACAGGAGGCCCTAAACGAACAGCCCAAACAACCAAGGACCCGAAACCCGTGATGCGAAGGCCCCGCGGGGCCTGCATAACGCCTCAGCCATCACTGTGCCCAGCGCCCGCGCCAGGTCAGCAGTGGCAGCGCGGTGGGCGCAGTGTGCCAAGGCCCTTACCACGGACCGAAACGGCTAGAGCAAGGTTTCTGGTATCCTGCAGTGATTTAATACATCTTGCAGCTTCGTAGACACAGTAGTGGAGGTAAGCATATGAGAGACTCAGAAACGCTGGACATCGTGAAGATCTTAGAGCCAAAGTGCCCCTGAAGAAAATTCACGGGGCCTGAAACCCAGTGTTTCAAGAAGAACCCGAAAGCGCCCGACATGCTCCGTCATCGACATCAAATACTCTGACTCACAGACACAACCCACTCCAACCCTAAACCCTAAACCCAAAACCCTAACCCCTAAACCCTAAACCCCTAAACCCTAAACTCAAAAATCCACAGACCCACACGGGATACCAGGCCTTGCAGCATTGACGAGCTCCTGCTCTAAGCAGGCAACCGCGGTCAGTTGCTTTGGAGCTTAGAGCTTGGAGCCTGCCCAGAGCCTCCAAAACCCCTTAATTAAGGAATATGCCTTAAATTATAGTAGGATCCCTAATATGATTTAAGGTATATTCCTTAATTAAGGGGTTTTGGAGGCTCTGGGTAGAGCTTGGAGCCCGTTGTCTTTGCTCACTTAAAGGATCATGGGACTTAGTACCTAGGGTTATTGCTTGAGTAATTGTACTGACAACTACTTATAACCCCAATTAGGGTACTCATAACCTTACCTACTAAGTCCCATGATCCTCCGAGCAGCCTTTGGTGTTTTGTATTCAGGGCTTAGCTTCTAGAATTTGCACTTAGGCAGCCGTTGCTTAGGCAGCCGTTGCCTGCCTGTTGCTAAGCCTCTCATCCTGGGGATGCAGTTTTAAGGGCATGCACTTCATGTACCAAGGTTAATATAGGGGTCAGAAAAACGGGGAATCGTGTCCCCATGTAATTCTGCATTCTACTTGTAGCATAATCGACCCCCAAGCTGCATCCCAGGCTCCTGCACTAAACCCTCAGAGTGACCATTTATAATAACCTTCAAAGAGCCCTTGAAAGCACCACTATAGTAATCGATATGACCCTAAACCCTGAACCCTAAAGCCTATGACCCTAACCCCAACCTATAGGGCACCCTTCTAGAAGCCAGGACCCACCACTCTGCGCCTGAGGATCCAGGCTTCCGGCCGCTGCAGCGGCCCGGGGCGCCACGAGGCCCAGGAGCCTCCAAGGCAGTTTAGGGCTCAGGAATTGAGGGCTTTAGGGGCTTAGGGGTTTAAGGGTTCAGAGGTTTAAGGGTTCAGGGGCCTAGGGGTTTGGGGTTTTGGGAGTTTCGGGTTCAGGGGCTGAGGGGTTTAAGGGTTTGTACGTAGGACCTTTAGGTCCTATTTGGCGTAGGGCTTGCTCTGTGTCTTAATATATACTGTGTATATACGCAATTAAAAATTTAAAGAATTTAAAAAATTAAAGGGGTAAATCCTTTAAATTCTGAAATCGTCCGGAATTAAAAATTTAAAGAACCCTTTAAATTTTGAAATCGTCCGGAATTAAAAATTTAAAGAATTTAAAAAATTTAAAGGGGTAAATCCTTTAAATTCTGAAATCGTCCGGAATTAAAAATTTAAAGAATTTAAAAAATTTAAAGGGGTAAATCCTTTAAATTCTTTAAATTTTGAAATCGTCCGGAATTAAAAATTTAAAGAATTTAAAGAATTTAAAGAATAAAAATTTAAATGTCCAGCTCCAGCTCCAGCCCCAGCCCCCCAGCCTTCGACCCCAGCCCACGGGATTAAATTTTTAAATTCTTTAAATTCTTTAAATTCTGAAATCGTCCGGAATTAAAAATTTAAAGAATTTAAAAAATTTAAAGGAGGTAAATCCTTTAAATTCTGAAATCGTCCGGAATTAAAAATTTAAAGAATTTAAAAAATTTAAAGGAGGTAAATCCTTTAAATTCTGAAATCGTCCGGAATTAAAAATTTAAAGAATTTAAAAAATTAAAGGAGGTAAATCCTTTAAATTCTTTAAATTTTGAAATCGTCCGGAATTAAAAATTTAAAGAATTTAAAGAATTTAAAGAATAAAAATTTAAAAATGTCCAGCTCCAGCTCCAGCCCCAGCCCCCCAGCCTTTGACCCCAGCCCACGGAATTAAATTTTTAAAATTCTTTAAATTCTTTAAATTCTGAAATCGTCCGGAATTAAAAATTTAAAGAATTTAAAAAATTTAAAGGAGGTAAATCCTTTAAATTCTGAAATCGTCCGGAATTAAAAATTTAAAGAATTTAAAACATTTAAAGGAGGTAAATCCTTTAAATTCTTTATATTCTGAAATCGTCCGGAATTAAAAATTTAAAGAATTTAAAGAATTTAAAGAATTTTAAAAATTTAAATGTCCAGCTCCAGCTCCAGCCCCAGCCCCCCAGCCTCCGACCCCAGCCCACGGAATTAAATTTTTAAAATTCTTTAAATTCTTTAAATTCTGAAATCGTCCGGAATTAAAAATTTAAAGAATTTAAAAAATTTAAAGGAGGTAAATCCTTTAAATTCTGAAATCGTCCGGAATTAAAAATTTAAAGAATTTAAAACATTTAAAGGAGGTAAATCCTTTAAATTCTGAAATCTTCCGGAATTAAAAATTTAAAGAATTTAAAAAAATTAAAGGAGGTAAATCCTTTAAATTCTTTAAATTCTGAAATCGTCCGGATTTCAAAATTTAAAGAATTTAAAGAATTTTAAAAATTTAAATCTTCAGCTCCAGCCCCAGCCCCAGCCCCCCAGCCTCCGACCCCAGCCCCAGCCCCCAGCCTCCGACCCCAGCCCCAGCCCCCAGCCCCAGCCCCAGCCCCACAGCCACCCTGCCAGGGCCTGCCCCAGCCAAGCCCCCCGCCCCACCCAGTCCTAGCCCCAGCCCCCAGCCCCAGCCCCGCCCCCACCCCCCCAGCGCCTGCCCCCAAGGGGGCCTAGGGGCTGGGGCTGAGGCTGGGCGGGGGGGCGAAAAGGTAGCTGGGCTCGCAGGCCAGGGCGCAGCTGGTGGGATGGGGAGGAGTAGGTGGTGGGTGGTGGGTAGTGGGTAGTGGTGGCGGGTGCTGGGTAGTGGTTGGTGTGTGGTGGGTGGTGTGTGGTTGGTGGGGAGGGTGTGGGTGGTGGGCGTGGCGGGTGAGGGGTGCCGGGTGGTGGATGGTGGTGGGTGGTGGGTGGTGATGGGGTACGAGGCAAGGGGCTGAGATAGGGGGGTGGGTAGTGAGGTATGAAGGGGGCGGGAGGGTGGAGTGGGGGCAAGGGTGTATAATCCCTGCGAGCCGCGACCGAGCAGAAAGCCTGTAAATGCCGCGTTCAAAAAACGGCCAGGGATCCCACACATCTGCGGGCAAAATCTGGCGGAAGTGATCCGCCACCAAGCAAAAAGCCTGTAAATACCGCATTAAACAAAGGGCCAGGGATTTCACATATCTGTTGGCAAAATCTGACAGAAGTACCGATTGCTCACTTCCGCCAGATTTTGCCACCAGATATGTGAAATCCCTGGCCCTTTGTTTAATGCGGTATTTACAGGCTTTTTGCTCGGTGGCGGATCACTTCCGCCAGATTTTGCCCGCAGATGTGTGGGATCCCTAGCCCTTGAAGTGGTGGGTGAGACACGGCGGTTTGGAGCCTGCTGTCTCTTCCCATCCGCGTTCAAAAAACGGCCAGGGATCCCACACATCTGCGGGCAAAATCTGGCGGAAGTGATCCGCCACCAAGCAAAAAGCCTGTAAATACCGCATTAAACAAAGGGCCAGGGATTTCACATATCTGTTGGCAAAATCTGACAGAAGTACCGATTGCTCACTTCCGCCAGATTTTGCCACCAGATATGTGAAATCCCTGGCCCTTTGTTTAATGCGGTATTTACAGGCTTTTTGCTCGGTGGCGGATCACTTCCGCCAGATTTTGCCCGCAGATGTGTGGGATCCCTAGCCCTTGAAGTGGTGGGTGAGACACGGCGGTTTGGAGCCTGCTGTCTCTTCCCATCCGCGTTCAAAAAACGGCCAGGGATCCCACACATCTGCGGGCAAAATCTGGCGGAAGTGATCCGCCACCAAGCAAAAAGCCTGTAAATACCGCATTAAACAAAGGGCCAGGGATTTCACATATCTGTTGGCAAAATCTGACAGAAGTACCGATTGCTCACTTCCGCCAGATTTTGCCACCAGATATGTGAAATCCCTGGCCCTTTGTTTAATGCGGCATTTACAGGCTTTTTGCTCGGTGGCGGATCACTTCCGCCAGATTTTGCCAGCAGATGTGTGAAATCCCTAGCCGTTGTTTTCATGCGGTAGTTACAGGTGTTTTGCTGGACCACAGGTCACTTCCGCCAGATTTTGCCAGCAGATGTGTGAAATCCCTAGTCCTTGTTTTCACGCGGTATTTACAGGTGTTTTGCTGGACCACAGGTCACTTCCGCCAGGTTTTGCCAGCAGATGTGTGAAATCCCTATAGGCCCTAGCCCTTGTTTTCATGCGGTATTTACAGGTGTTTTGCTGGACCACAGGTCACTTCCGCCATGTTTTGCTGGACCACAGGTCACTTCCGCCAGATTTTGCCAGCAGATGTGTGAAATCCCTAGTCCTTGTTTTCAAGCGGTATTTACAGGTGTTTTGCTGGACCACAGGTCACTTCCGCCAGATTTTGCCAGCAGATGTGTGAAATCCCTAGCCCTTGTTATAGCGCGATATTTACATGCTTTCTGCTCGGTCGCGGCTCGGGCAGGGAAGGCTGGGCGTGCGGAAGCAGGCAGCCGTGCCCACCCACCCCGTCCCATCCCACCACACACCTCACTCCACCCCTCCCTCTTTATCATCCACCTCATCATCTTCACTATCTTCCTCCTCCTCATCCCTCGTCCTCCTCCCATACCCCTCCCTCCCTCTCCCTATCCCTCCCACTACCCCCTCCCCTCACCTTCCTCACTCTCCCCCACCTCCACTCCCTCTACCTCTCCTCTTCCCCTTTCTCTCTCCTGGAATCTCCACCCCCCCCAACCCTCCCTTCTCTCCTTCTTAAATATCCCCCTAAGGTTTTGTGAAAACTCAGATCCCAAAACCACAGATCTTAAGGGGTGTCCCCCTAAAGGTTTTCATGACAAGTAAGTGCAAAAAGCACAAATCGCAAGGGGTGTCCCCCTTAAGGTTTTGTGAAGATTCAAATCCCAAAACCACAGATCTTAAGGGGTGTCCCCTAAAGGTTTTCATGACAAGTAAGTTCAAAAATCACAAATCGCAAGGGGTGTCGCCCTAATATTTTGTAAGAACTCAGATCCAAAAATCACAGATCGCACGGGGTGTGCCCCTCTCAGGCTTTGTAAGAACTCAGATCCAAAAATCACACATCGCAAGGAGCGTCCCCCTAAAGGCGTTTGTAAATGATCCACCCTGTCCCTCTCACTTGCCTCCTACCTCCCCCACTCCTAACTCATTCCTTCCCTTCCCATCTCATGTCTCCTCACCTCCCATCACTTTTTCTCCCATCCACTCATCTTCTTATCATCTTCTTATCACCTTCATCACTTTTTAATTTGTCTTATGGGGTCTATAGAGCCCATATAGAAAGCTTCATAGATATATAAACCTTACAGATCCTCGAGATAAAGAACTTGTAGGAACCGCTTATGTTTCCCACAAATGGAGTCCTTTATAAAAAATCTTTGAAAGATCGATTATATGGAGCCCTCATACACAGTCTTTATATACTCCTTATAGAAATCTATAGATCCTTTGTACAGATCCCTGATATGGAACCCTTTGTAGAAAACCCTTAGACTATACAATCCAAAGAACGCACCCACCCTCCACTCCCTCTACCTCTCCACCCATCTCCCCACTCCCTCCTCTTCCCCTCCCTTTGTCCACCCGCCCTCCCCTCTCCCCACCTTTTCCTTGCGCTCCCTCTACCTCCTCTCTCCACCCACCCTCTTCTCCCTGTTCCTCTCCACCCTCTCCCCACTCACTCACCCAACCCACTCAGCCCGGCCAGGCTCCCCAGCTGGTCCTGCCTCAAAGCAAGCCGGGCGTGCTGGCCGTGGATCTCAGCAGGCCCCTGCCCACCCTCGAGAGCCCACCAGGCTCAGCAGGCCAGGCCGCAGGCAAGCTGCGAGCTGGCCGCCTTCGGCAAGCTGTCTAACATTGTTTCTTATCCACTTTCACCTATTCCCCCGCTTCAGTCCATGCCCTACCTTTCACTCCTTTCCAGACCCTTCTGATATGAGTAAAATGAGAGGAGGAGGTCAGAGGGACGAAGAACAGCTCTCTCCATTACTTTCTCATCTGCTTTGACCCCTTCCCTTTCCTGGCTCCATGCATGCCCTGCGAGAAGAGAAGAATAAGAGAGAAAAGAGGAAGAGCAGAGGAGAAACTGGTTTCCCCTCTTTCATTACGTAGCATTTCTTTTGGCCACTTCCTCCACACTTCTCGTATCTTCCTCTCTCTTCTTCCTCTGCTGGGCTTGAAGCTCTCTCTCGCCCTCTCCGCAACTCTCTTCTTTCCGTCGAGCGGACGAGCGGTGGGAGAGGAAGGGCACAAGGTGAGTGAAGACGAGAACACTTCTTCCTTGTCTTCCTCCACAACCTCTTCCTGGCTTTTTACCAATGAGACGGTGAGATAGGACAAGCAAGGCACTTTCGACTGCTTTCTGCATCGCTTCCCCTCCCCTCCTTTCTCTCACTCTCTGCCTCTGTTTTTGCTGGTCTTTCTCTCTTACTTTCTCTCTTTGTTTCTGTGTTTGTTTCCTTATGGCTCTCGTTCTTCTTCTGCCCTTCTCGGATTGTCTCTCCGCTTCTGTTGTCTTTCTCTTACTCCCTTGTCTTCTTCCTTGTGAATTGTCCTTCTTCCTTCTGAGTGATAGAGGGAGAAGGACGGGAGGCAGGAAAGGCAGGAGGAGAAGGAATAGGGGGCAAGCGATTCTTTCCAAAGCGATTCTTTCCAAGCGAACATAATAGGCGGAGAGAAGCGGAAAGGGAATGCGCAGAAGTAGACGGGAAGGGAGGGAGGGAGAAAGAGGGATCTGGAGAGAACAATGAAAAGGAGGATGGTGAGGTGATGAGAAGAGTGCCCTTTGCATGCCCTGAACTCTCCGTTCCTTTCATTTCTCCTTCCTTATGAAGATGAATAGGGTAAGAGAAGAGGAAGAAGGCGAAGGGCAAGGAAGTAAGAGAGGCGAGCGAAGGAGGAATTCTCCTTTCTTCTCCGAACCGTCTTCCCGCATCTTACCGCTTCCTTTCTGTTGTCTGCTCTTCTTTCCTTATGTCTTCGCAGAGCCCTTCCTCCTTATCCTTTTCTTTCCTCTGGTCATTCAAAAAGGAAACGATGAGGAGACGCGAACTGATTCTCCTTGCTCCTTCTTACCACACTCTGCTTCTCTACATCCCCCTGCTTTCTTTATACTCGGTTTGGTGTTCATGTCCTCAAGAGGCCCCCTTAGGGAGGAAGTTGGTGGCCTCCAGAAAGTTGTGGAAGTGTCTGAAGGCGCCTACAAGCCTCCTCGAAGCCCTCGCGAGGCCCGGAGTCCTTTGAGATACGGCAACACTGGTACTCTCTCGCTTCCTCTTCTGTGTCCTTCTTCCTAGTCTTCCTCGTTTCCCTTTCTTTCGCACTCGACTTCCCCCACTCTCTGTCTATGACTTTCTCTTATCCACTTTCACCTATTGCCTCGCTTCAGTCCATGCCCTAGCCTTCACTCCTTTCCAACCCCTTCTGACATGAGCAAGCATCAGGAGAATGAGAGGAGGAGGTGAGAGGGACGAAGAACAGCTCTCTCCGCTACTTTCTCTCATCCGCTTTGACCCCTTCCCTTTCCTAGCTCCATGCGTGCCCTTTGCTAAGAGAAAAATAAGAGAGAAAAGAGGAAGAACAGAGGAGACAGGGGCTTCCGCCCTTTCATTACGTAGCTTTGGCTTACGCTTCTTTCTTGTGAATCGTCCTTCTTCCTTCTGAGTGATAGAGGGAGAAGGACGGGAGGCAGGAAAGCCAGGAGGAGAAGGAATAGGGCAAGCGATTTTATCAAAGCGAACATAATAGGCGGAGAGAAGCGGAAAAGGGAATGTGCAGAAGTAGACGGGAAGGGAGGGAGAGAGAAAGAGGGATCTGGAGAGAACAATGAAAAGGAGGATGGATGAGGTGATGAGAAAGAGTGCCCTTTGCATGCCCTGAACTCTCCGTTCCTTTCATTTCTCCTTCCTTATGAAGATGAATAGGGTAAGAGAAGAGGAAGAAGGCGAAGGGCAAGGAAGTAAGAGAGGCGAGCGAAGGAGGAATTCTCCTTTCTTCTCCGAACCGTCTTCCCGCATCTTACCGCTTCCTTTCTGTTGTCTGCTCTTCTTTCCTTATGTCTTCGCAGAGCCCTTCCTCCTTATCCTTTTCTTTCCTCTGGTCATTCAAAAAGGAAACGATGAGGAGACGCGAACTGATTCTCCTTGCTCCTTCTTACCACACTCTGCTTCTCTACATCCCCCTGCTTTCTTTATACTCGGTTTGGTGTTCATGTCCTCAAGAGGCCCCCTTAGGGAGGAAGTTGGTGGCCTCCAGAAAGTTGTGGAAGTGTCTGAAGGCGCCTACAAGCCTCCTCGAAGCCCTCGCGAGGCCCGGAGTCCTTTGAGATACGGCAACACTGGTACTCTCTCGCTTCCTCTTCTGTGTCCTTCTTCCTAGTCTTCCTCGTTTCTCTTTCTTTCGCACTCGACTTCCCCCGACTTTCTCTTATCCACTTTCACCTATTGCCTCGCTTCAGTCCATGCCCTAGCCTTCACTCCTTTCCAGACCCTTCTGACATGAGTAAGCATCAGGAGAATGAGAGGAGGAGGTGAGAGGGACGAAGAACAGCTCTCTCCGTTACTTTCTCTCATCCGCTTTGACCCCTTCCCTTTCCTAGCTCCATGCATGCCCTGCGCTAAGAGAAAAATAAGAGAGCAAAGAGGAAGAAGAGGAGAATGGGGCTTCCGCCCTTTCAATACGTAGCTTTGGCTTACGCTTCTTCTGGCCACCCCTTGCCCCCTTCTCTTATCTTCCTCTCTCTTCTTCCTCTGCTGGGCTTGAAGCTCTCCCTCGCTCTCTCTGTGTCTCTCTTCTATCTCCTGGTTCCCACTTTTCCGCCAGACAAGAAAATCAAAGAAAGGAGAGCGGGCGAGCGGTGGGAGAGGAAGGGCACAAGGTGAGTGAAGAGGAGAACACTTCCTCGTCTCCCTCCACAAGCTCTTCCTGGTTTATCACCAATGAGACAGTGTGATAGGACAAGAACGAAGAATGAATAGACGTGGAGGTCAAGGCACTGTCGGCTGCTTTATGCATCGCCTCCTCTTTCTGTCTCTCTTTTTGATTATCTTTCCCCCATATTTTCTCTCTTTGTTTCTGTATTTCGTCCCTTATGGCTCTCTCTCCGTTTCTTTTGTCTGTTTTCTTACTCCCTTGTCTTTCTCCTTGTGAGTCTTCCTTCTTCCTTCTGAGTGATAAGGGGAGAAGGACGGGAGGCAGGGAAGGGAGGAGGAGAAGGAACAGGGCAAGCGATGGGACAAAGAGAGTGAGAGAAAGTTGAAGATAAGTATCAAATCAAGCATAATGTAGTAGGCGAGAGAAGTGGAAAAGTAAATGTGCAGAAGTAGAGAGGAAAGGATGGAGGGAGAGAGAGAGAGCGAGAGAGAGAGAGAGAGAGAGAGAGAGAGAGAGCGAGGGGGAGATGGACAACGCAATGAACACGAGGAAGGAGGAGATTATGAGGAACAGTGTCACTTGCTCTCCCTGAGCTCTCCGTTCTTGTCGCTTCTCCTTCTAATTGTGAAGAAGGATAGGAGCAGAGAAAAGAAGGCAAGGGCAAAGAAAGTCAAAGAGCCGAGTGAGGGAGGAATCCACCTTCTCCCAACCATCTTCCTCCATCTTATGTCTTCGCTTCTGTTTTCTATTCCTTCCAGCAAGGGAGCAAGGAAAGAAGGGACAGAAGAGATGAGAGAGCGAGACACGGCAGAGAGGAAGACAGAGCGAGAAAAAGAGAGAGAGAGAGAGAGAGCGGAAGAGAGACAACGCGAGAGGAAATGAAAAAACGAACCACGTCGAGAGGAACTGACGTCGTCCCTTTGCCCCTCCCTCGTGTTACCCCTGTCATTGACAGCAGAAGGCGACAAGAAAAGAAACAGAAAAAGGATCAATCAAAGGAAGGAGAGAAGGGAGAGACGAGAGAATGAAGAGTTCACTTCGTCCATCTTCATGCCTATTCCTCTGTCATGACTTCAATTTCTGTGTCTTCTTGACAAACGGCAGAGTGGATAGGCAGGAAGAGGAAAGGGAATGAGAGAAAGACACAGGACGAGAAATACACAAGACAGATTCTTGATGGTTCCCGGCGCGAGAGGGACGGGAGGACATTGTGATAGACTGTGATAGACCCTAAAACCAGCACGGAGAACTTGTGAGAGCGTAAAACCATCTAAATCCTCATAAACTCCAAACCTTAGATCTTCCATAGTATACTGACCCCGGTAAACCATAGTTAGGAACTAAGACCCTAGACCCTTAAACTCCTGTCGAGACCTTTACACTGTACGCGCTTCGGCCTCCCGATGTAACCGTCGTGCCAGACCTTGTCGTCGCCGTGTTGAACCCAGTCGTCGTCGTGCTAAACCGAGTCGTCGTGGCTTCTTGTCGCCGTGGTGTTGTTGCAGTTTAAATACAAAGCCCAGCAGGATTGCCAAATAGACCCTAAAGGTCCATGCCACTTAAGGGTTTAGGGTTCAGGAAATGTCACAGCTGTGGATTGACACGGGAGCCACAAGAGTTGGCACAGGGACTCTTTGCAAGGTGCTATGACGCGCGGAGGGCTTTTCTGGAGTTTCAAACATAGGGGCCGTAACAAGTAGAAAAGGGTTTTGGGGCATACTGCGGTGCAACACCGTATACGGGCCATGGAGGATAGCATCAACAACTTATTCAGACCGGGTTTCCACACGTCCTGGGAGCTCTTTAAGGTTTCGGGCTTAGGGTTCTGGGGACTTTGTTCGAAAGCTCTGCCATTAATTAGTGTTGAGGGTTCAAGCACTTGTCATTTATGCTGTCGGTTTCTTTCACAAGTTCTTAGCGAATTTAGGGGGTTCGTCATCTAGGGTTGCGGGGTCCAGCGCGGGCATGGTAGCTGAAGGATGACTTTGGAGCGAAGACCTCGAAAGGCTTGAAAGGCCACTTGTCTCTGCGAGGCGTGTCAGCCTGGGTGCGTCGACGCCGCGCAGCAGCTGCAGGCCTCTGCGTGGGTAGTTGTGAAAATTAAGGTTCCTTTTTGGGTACCCTAAATATTAGGTGCCGTATTATAATAGGGACCCAAAAAGGGACCCTAATTTTGACAACCACCCGCATGGAGGGGGGTTTAAGTTTTCTGTCTGGCGGTCCTTGTTGCTGAAGTTCGTGCTGGGCCACTATCATCCGAAGCTCTTGTATTCTTTGATACATCTGAGCCTAGCCCAGAGCCCCACAAAGCCAAAAATCTACGAGCTTTGACCACTCCAGCCCGACCCTGACCTAGGAGGTGCTTTTACAGCGGTAAGATCCTCTTAAGCCCAACAAGAGAAAATATATTAACATGTCCCAAAGCCCGACCTAGTGACTTTAGCAGCTTGGCCCAGGCGCAGGATACGAGCTGTGCAGGCGAGACATCTGCGGAGCCAGATATCTGCATCAAGGCTTTCGGCTAGAAAGAGCTCTGGGTCCCAAAGGGTCCAAGTATCATCATGGGACATACTTAGACCCCCAAAATACCCTATAAGTATATACCAGGATGATACTTGGACCCTTTGGGGGTTATAAGGCATTGAAGAAGGCCTAGGGATTTCAGGAGGGTTCAGGGCTTGAGGGTTTCGTGTTTAGGGCTTGGGGGTGACTTGATTATCAGTGGGTTTTAGGCTCTGAGTGGGGACTTGCTGGGGTTTCGAGTGTAACGAGCATTAAAAACAGCGCTTGAGGGCTTGCTCGCAGGCTGCAAGATCGCATGAGCTCAGGTTTATTTTACTGCTAACATTGATCATACACCCTACCCAAAGGCCCCAAAGTAGTTCCTTTATCTTAGCGGCTGAATTCATATGTCATAAGCCCCCCAAAAGTGTACACTTTCAGTTTTATCGTGGGTAATATTATCGCAAAAAGTGTAAAGTGTCTCCACCCAGCTACTATAAGTTTTGGGATTACTTCTAAATATGAACCCCCGAAAAGGAACTACTTTGGGGCCTCTGGGTAGACCCTACACCCTGACCAGGACCTAAACCCCCAGAGCATAGTATCTTCGGCCTTGGGACTATGAGAGCAAGACCAAAATCCCCGCAGGGCCCAAATCACAAAATCTGAAACCCGAGGAGCCCAAGGCCTAAGCCCTGAAACCTCCGTGGGGATCCATGGAATCATAAGGCCTTATACGCCCTAAGCCCTGAAGCCATAAACCTGCACCCTGAACCGAAGCCCCCACAAGCTGCTTAAGACTCGTTCTTCGACCCAGCCTGTCGCTGCAGGCGCTCAAGCAGCGAAGGCAAGGCTCGATCCTACAAAAATCAGGCGCCGGATGGAGGGTTTAGGGTTTAGGGTTTAGGGTTTGGGGGTTTAGGGTTTAGGGGTTTAGGGGTTTAGGGGTTGAGGGTTTAGGGTTTAGGGTTTAGGGTTTAGGGGTTTAGGGGTTTAGGGTTTAGGGGTTTAGGGTTTGGGAGTCGGGCTAACAGTCTATTCAGAAAGTCGGGGCTTCGGGCTTAGGGTTTGCAGTTTGACTCAGATAAAAGACTTCGGAGCTCAAAGCTTCAGAGCTTCACAGACAAACGCACTTGGGCGCATGCCTTCTCAAATTTAGGGTTAAGGGCTTAGGGTTTAGAGTTTAGGAAGAAGGGAAGCCCTCCAAATCCTAAGTCGGAAGCCCTTGGAGGGCTGCAGTAGAGTTATAAGTACCCTAAAAGGGATCCTAATTGGGATTATGGTACTTTTAACTCTCTAGAAGAACTACTTAGGCTAGCCGCTCGTCCTGCTCGCCGGGAGACCCGGCCAAAAGCTGCTCCAGGGAATTCAGGGACATCCTTCGATCTTAGGACTTCGGGTTTAGGGGTTGAGGGGTTTTCGGGGGTTTGGGGTTTTGGGTTTTGGGTTTTGGGGCTTAGGGTTTGGGGCTTAGGGTGTAGGGCTTCGGGTTTAGAGTTGAGGGTCTAGGGCTGGGGAACCTGCCCCATCAATCATCGGTTTAGCTGCTTCGTTGTCGTTTCCTCCACGACTCTTGAAGACCCTGAGGATCGAGGTATCGGAGAACTGTCTGAAGCGAAAGGGATGAAATAATGGAAATCTGGGCTTTGGCGCTTCGGGTACCATTGTTCAGGTAAGGGTTTGCTTGATGATGCGCTGCACACCTTCACATCGTCAAAGCCTCAACCCTACACCAAGACCTCTGAACCCCCGACCCCCTTCAACCCCAAAGCTGAAGGGCTGAGGGTGTAGAACTTCCCTTAACCCGAACCCTAAACCCTTGTGGCCCTGCTTAGGGGCAGCCAGGCTACGAAAGCAAGGGATCACCGCCCGCCTGGGACCTCGGCAAGTCGCAACGAGGAGGCGTTTTTTGGAGCACCGGGCATGGAATAAACATCTGGGCGCGCACGCACACATGTATGTGCAGACATACATTACATGACATTGCATGACACTACATTGCACTGCATTGCCTACCTATCTATCTGCCTACCTACAAACATACATACCCGCATACGTAAATACGTAATTACATACATGCATGCGTACGTACATAAACAACAAACATAACATGCACACTACAGTGTATGTATGTATGTATGCATGCATGTATGTATGTATGCATGTATGTATGTATACATCATATGCGTGTGGGCTTGCATGCATGCATGCATGTATACAATATGTATGCATGCATGCAAGCATGCGGGTATGCATCTGGTTTGGGGAGGAGGGGAAGATAGACAGAAAGCAAGAACGCAAGGCAGTCAGAGCGATAGACAGACAGACCGGTAGATGGATAGCTAGACGGAGGGATAGATCCATCGATCGATCGGCGCATGGATGCATGGATAGATGGATGGATGGATGGATGGATGGATGGCTGGATGGGATGGGATGGGATGGGATGGGATGGGATGGAAAAAGTGGATGGACGGTTAGACAGATAGACAGCTAGATAGATAGATAGCAACACATGGAGCGCTGGACAGATGGACAGACAATCCGACCGACGGACAGACACACAGGCAGGCAGAGAGAGAGAGAGAGAGAGAGAGAGAGAGAGAGAGAGAGCGAGGGAGAGAGAGAGAGAGAGAGAGAGAGAGAGAGAGAGAGAGCGAGAGACGGACGGACAAACGGACCAGACAGACAGACAGACGGACAGCCAACCAGGTAGGTAGGTAGATAGAAGATCGGGTAACACCCCCTTCATATAGTGTCCTCGTTATATCCTAGTTTCAAACTTGTCGTACTCCTGACAGCACGCTTTAGTACGCTTCTAGTGCCTGTATAGTAACTATAATACTGTTAACTTATACCATTGTTACACACCTTATTGTACCCTTGTATAGCCCAAACTACCTTGGTCTCCGTCCAGTGACTCCTCGGCCGCGCGCCAAGGACCCTGAGGGGCATTCCACTCCCAGCCTAGGCAAAGGGTTCTTAAGGGTACCTTCACAGTTCTATAAGGGCTCAGGGTTTAAGGAGTTGCGGGGTTTGTAGTTCAGGGTTTGGCTGTGGGGATTAAAGTCTGAGGCTTTCGGAGTTTCACGGTTAAGTGTTGAGGGTTGAAAGGTGTGGGTTGAAAGCTGCGGGGCTTTGGGGTTCAGGATGTAAGGGTGAAGAGGCTTAGGGTTTGGAGGTGGGAGTCCCAGCCACTGACGCAAATTCAAGTTACTAACTCTTCAAAGGACTTGGTTAGACGTGGCGAAGGTGGCAATAGTTGTTGTTGTTGTTGTTGCCTTTGCTGTTGTCGATGTTGTTGTGGGTGTTGTTGTTGTTGCTGCTTCTTTGCCGTGTTGCAAACTGAACCCTAGACCCCAACCCGAAGCTTAACCTCAAACTCTGCGCACGAACATTCCCGTGCCTTGAGACCAGTCGCTCTGCGACCATCCGCCCCGCGAATCCTGGGTGGACACTCGACACAGGGCTTGCTAGCGACGCCTGGCGTTCCATGTTAGATGGCTCCTGCACCCCACTCCCTGCACCCTGAGCGCTGGCCCAAAAACCAGAAACCGTTGACCTCTGAACCCCGGTCGAACCAGAAGTTGAAGGTTTGAAGGCCCTGAGCCGATCCTAAACCGCGACATCTGAAAACCAAGACACGGCTGTTGCCGCCCGAAGGAGGCTATCCCCAAGCCATTCAGAGCACAGTCCTAACCCCAACGTGCACGCTGCTGTCTGAAGCTCGAAACCTCAAAGCACAAGCTCCAAGCACTTAGTCCCGACGCTCTGGAATCCTACATCCTACACCTGCAATGTAGAAGAGCCCTACCCAAATCCGACTGCCACGGTCGCCATGCTGCCACGGCACAGATGGCCTAGCCGGGTCTAAGCTGAAGAGCTTAAGGTTGAGGGAACTCGCGTCTGATTTGAGAGCTCAAGCTCTGTAAGGGTTCCTTTACAGGGATCTATAAGGGTTCCTTTAAGGGTTCCTTTAAAGGGATCTATAAGGGTTCCTTTAAGGGTTCCTATAAGGGGGACCTTGAGTTGTTCAGCTGCTCCAACCTTAAAACCCAAAGCCCCAGGCCCGATAAGCCCCAAACCCTCATCAAAGCCCTAATACAAATACCTAGGCCTAAACCATAAACCCTGAAAGCCCGAATAGAAAATCATATAGGTGCCTCAGCAGGGTTTGGGGCATATCATAATATAAGTAAAATCAGGAGGCCCCCCAAAGACCTATTCAATTAATTCTCATTATGCAGACCCCCTACATTACCTTTATAAGACTCTTGGGGCTTCGGAAGCTTGGCGACTTCGTGGTTTGAAGCATCCAGTCACCTTTAGGGCTGAGGACTCACAGGATAGGGTTTTGGGCCCCGGGTTAAGGGTTTAGGGTTTGAAATCGAAAAACCAGCCCGCGTGGATGACAATGTGCGACTCTCGTCGCTTATGATCCAATATAAGAGCCTTAAATAGTTGGAAGAGGGTTTTGGGGCCCATTATACTATAATATAATACTAATAATGAGCCCCCAAAATAGTATAGGTAATTATTGAGCCCCTATATTGCAGTTTCAGGGCTCGTAGCGGACTGCATAGGGCATAGGGCACAGTGCTCACGAAAGCGAATCAGTCTGAATACGAAGAAGTGCAACTGGTAAAACAAAATTCGTCGTAGTATAAGTATAGTATAATGGGCCCCAAAACCCATTCTAATTATTAACGCCCCTATAGTAAGCATGCTTGTATGGGTAGTTGTCAAAATTAGGGTCTCTTTGTGGGTACCCTAAATATTAAGTGCCGTATTTCATTAAGGACCCCAAGAGGGACCCTAATTTTGACAACCACCCGCATGTGCGTGAAGATTTGCCAGCTGCTGCTTCCTCGCCTGGAAGAATCGCTCTGCCACCAGCTGCTCGATGAAGCGAACCAAGCTGCACCTCTTAACGGTCAAGGGTTCTTGGAGGTTCATGGGTAGTTATAAGTAGGGTTATAAGTCCCCTAAAATGGGTTATAACTATACTTATCTTACACATATAACTACCCATGGACCTCCAAGTGCATTGTGTTCCTTCCAGGGTTGAGGGAGGGTTTGACTGAGGTTAGGGTTTATCGTTTAGGTTTTGCTTTTGGAGTGCAGGCTGTGGGGATTTCGCGGGTCTACTAATACTGGAGTTACTATAGAGCTCTAGGAAGAGTATCAGTGTTATCCCGACCCTTAAAGAACCCTGCAACCCTAACCCCCAAACAGCGGGAATCGCAGAAAGCCTCGGCTTCTGTGAAAGCTGCGAGCCCACGGCGGAGCTGCGAGTCGTCTTCGTCTGAAGCACTCCGCTTCTGAAACTCGCTCGTCCCTCGAACCCTCATGACAGAGACCTCGAACCTCTGGAAACTCCGACTAAACCCTTGTTTTGGCGCTGCATTCAATCGCACTGGTGGCTCTTCCCCTTCCATGATGCCGTGCTGCCATCATTGGGCTTCGTGACTATCGACATTTGGGTTCGTGTTTCCTACTCACCATTGAACTGCCCATGTTTCAAAGCACGAGCGATCGGGTGACCTTGCTCACATGGTGGAAGACGTACGACATCGAAGTCGCCAGCAACAGCTCTCACCAGTCACTAGGCGTGTGTGATAGCGTGTTTCATACTTGCCGGCTTGTGCTCCATGCTTCAGCGCTGTTCACTCACCCAAAGCTCTACAGCAGCCCAGGCGTTTCGATTTGTAGTTTCGGCACCAAGGATCCTACACCTGACATCCTAAACATGAACCCTAAACTCTAAACCCTCAAAAACCCCCAATCTAAAAGAGTCCTCGGGGCTTCTGATTGGGAGTTTGGGGCTTTAGGCTGGCGCGGCCTCCATCTTCGGAGTTCGCAGACTCTGCTTGCCTTCCGAGACTTTAGGAGGAGGAGGAGGCTTTTTCAAGCTCTGGGCTCCCCTTATGGTATACGTATGAGGGATTTAGGGGTTTAGGGTTTAGGGGTGTAGGGTTTAGGGTTAGGGAGATTACGAAGTGTTCTGACCTCCATGCTGCTTGTTCTGACGAAAGGCTTGCTCCTGAAAGGGGCCGTAGATTCAGAAGCCAAACTCGTATCAAAGAATGCCGTGTGCACATGCATAAACTGCACTACTTCGCGACGACGGTCCATGCAATTTATGTCGGTTCAGTGCTTGGGGTACAAGAGGTTCTCAACAGAAGCAACTCGCTTTCCATGTGCGCGGAACAGACCCTGGATACATGTCAACTCACCGTAAATCCCACGGTGAGCATCTGCCATTCCGTTTGTTCGCAAGACGAAGCCCTCTCAAACTCGGATGATCTCGGGCTTGCAGTGCATTTAGAAAGGTGTCTCTGCCTAACCACCCGAATGGGAGGAAGAAAGGTCTTCAAGAACATTGTAGCAGTTGCCTCCAAGAAAGGGAGATGGTCTCAAGTGCGGACAGGTGAAGACTCATCATCAAAGCATCTAACAAAAGCTCGCGACTTAATTTGCGGCCAATAGCAGCCTATATCGAAATCGTTTGGTGTCTGGGCTTCAGCGTGCGGGGTTTGAGTTTAATTATTGCTTTCTTCAATCGCAATATAGGACAACATCGGGAACAGTGAGCTGCATCTTGTCTCTGAAGCCTTTGCATCCCAGTTTGGTCATATGGCAGTTTCCTAAAATTAGGGGTACCTTTTTCTTTGGTCCTTATAATGAGGATCCTACTTTTTAGGGTACTATATTATTTCGGAAACTCCCACCTGGCCTCCGCTCACCCAGGTGCGCACGGGGAGGCGGCTCTTGAAATCGCCTGTGGCATCTGCAAAATCAAGGTTACTTAGAGGATCATGGGACCTAGTAAGTAAGGCTATAATTACCTTAATTGGGGTTATAAGTATAGTTACCCGAATAATAACCCCAGGTACTAATTCCCATGACCCTTTAAGTAAGGGTGCTTATCTGTGACTTCATGTGACTTGCTTGTGGTGGGTGTGAGCTTTTCAAAGTATAAATCGGCTCTTGGAACTGGCGGGTTCTTCAGATGAAAGAGAATGAGAAGCCCTTATCCCAACTAGTTCGACTTCCTACTGTTGATGATATAAATCCTGCATTACCTGAAGGGCCCTAAACTATGCAGGATTTATATCATCAACCGTAGTTCGTATGCCCAGTTCTACCTGTGACAAAATACCAAAAACTGAAAAGTTGTCTCCTTAGCCCCAAGCCCGCCAGAGGAGCCCCGAAGACACATCTCACCAAGGCGCTAAAGCTCGAAACCACGGAGGGTTGGCTAAATATGAGCGTGGCTCGTGGGGCTTGCACAGACGTTGGCGAAATATGAGCATGCCTGGTGGCTCGTGGGGCTTGCACAGACAGCAATCGAGGACAGTGATGAAAGAAGGCATGCTATCATATTCTCACCGACAGTATTCGGCAGTGCTTCACGACAAAGGCTACCACTCCCTGCACGCATGATACATACTATCATATGACTGTCACGAAGGCTACGACTACGACGATTGCAAATGCCACGGACCAACTGCCGCTGTCACTGCCACCACCGCCACCACCATCACGACACGCACCGCGCACAAACACTACCACGACGACCTCCACGACTCCACTTCGAACACTACTAAGCCAGTGCTGCGAACACGATTCTGCTTCTGCTGCCATTCCATCGCCCCTTCCGCAGAACCGCGCACCCTACAAGCATAGTGAGTCAGCCAGATAATGGTACCAAAAACTGTGTACCAAATTGGAAGCCACACAACACGCAATAGAAAACCACAACAACACTTTGATCAAGGGGCACCCGCCCTCTTTGCAGCTGGACTTGCAAAGAATGGTGTCACGGTGACATCGCCGTTGCCTCGCAGCGGCCAGCGCCGCACCGAGCCACACTCGCCGCCGCGGCTCCGGCTGCCTCTTTAGGCCAATAAGGCCTGAACTCTTCGGGGATTCAAAGTAGGTCGAAAGATGTTAAACCGGTTCGGAGCATCAGGCGGCAGAACCAATCTGTTTCCATCTGGACATAAACCTTGAATTGCTCGAGACCGGTGCTGGTTCAGCGGCCACTCAAAGCCTATGTTGCGAGATGGTGCAGTGCCCTGGGTGTTACCCGAGTCTCGAACGCATAAAAGCCAATCCAATATTCCGTCACCAGGGATAGCCTTGTGGGTCTTCCTTGACACGCCTTGACCTTTTCAGAAACCCATCCCTGTGCCGCTGCGGCGCGACATCTTACTGGATTTCTTCCTGCACTTGAAGCAGAAGTCTGGCTACCCTCGAACGGGCTGTCTGAGCACTGCCCTACCACCACTTTCACCGCTTCTGCTGCTCCTGCTCCTCCTTGTTGCAAATGAGGAGAATGCTCAACCACTATGCGATCATGCCACCTCTCAGACGACATACCACACTATATACTATGTACATAGTATACTATCATCTTATATATTAATGTACTATATTTATGCGATATAGCATACTAAATACCATACTATATGCTCTATACTATACACTCGACTACATACTGTATTATACTAGGTACTCCTCTATTAAAAGCTATAGTATAGGTCATACTATACTATGTAACAAACTACATACTGTACTACATACTAAACCCTAAACCCTAAACCCCTAAACCCCTAAACCCTAAAACGATGCTTTGATCCCGGAAGTGACATAGCGGCCTCGCTTCACAGCTGGCTGCACGGCGCCTGGGCTCCTCCTCACAAGATGTCCCACTTGGAGGATCATGGGACTTAGTAAGTAAGGCTATAAGTACCCTAATTGGGGGTGTACGTATAATTACCCTGATAATCACCCTAAGTTAGCATATGATCCTTTAAGCATGCTCTGGAGACGCCACCGTCCACGTTCAGTTTACACCTAAAGAGCATCGCATTTTTGCCCGTGTTGTACTTTAGAATATCGGCGCCTTAATATATGTATAAACGGAAAACCCCAAAAATTGTATAGGTAATTATTTAGGCCCCTATGTTATAGGCTTGGGGTTTCAGGTTCTATGGCTGGGCCGCCTTGGGTTGAGAGCTGAGGTGCGCAGTCCCTCACCTCACAGTCCCTCAAAGAACAAAGCCGTCCGGGGTTCGATAAGCAACTCCCTGTACGGATGTCTTGAATTCGCAGCTTTGGCCTTTTTCTGTCAGTTTGGCTGGGCGAGCTGAAGGCTCGGCCAGAACTACAGGCTAGCGCATTCAGAGAAACTCGGGAGCTGAACCATTTCCTCGAGTATGCTATATCCCATATACTATTTGCTATATGCTATATACTAGTTATATACACTACCTACTACACACTATATACTTAAAGTACCATAAACCAAAATACCATTATGCCCCACAGCTAGCCGGACAGGACCCGAGAGAGAAGCCTGAGAAGTGTCAGGAGGGGCTACTGTTGGCGCCTTTGTCGTGCCCGGCCAGTCTTGATGCCATCCTCAGGAGCTGGGTGGGATATGGTATGGGCCTTGAGGGATCTGCGATGATCTGCGCTGATCATGTCGATGCCAATTCTGACGATGATGCTGACGAAGATGGTAATGATGATGACCGCGAAGATGACGAAGATGATGGCTGAGACGATGATACGATGATAATGATGGTGGCCATGATGATGATGATGATGATGATGATGGTGATGACGATGATAATGATGATGATACCGATTTTTTGCATGTCTGCGGTCCATGCTTTCTCTGCTTGTTGCTGACAACTCTCATTGCTCCGTGCGTCTGCGTTATTAAAGATCATTGCAATGAAGTCCAGTTTTGCTTCTATGTAAAAATGTCCTTGTCGCCGCCTTGGCGAGAATAATCTCTGCAGTCTTTTGCCGGCTCATGCTACAACTGCGACATGCTGCGGCAGCAGCAGCAACAGCAGCTTCTGCTGCTAGACTAGCAACAAGAGTACTCGTCCTCGTAGTCATTTACTGACAAACTTAATCCCTGGGCCTGACGATTGCTATATGGGAGTTTCCGAAAATAGGGGGTACCTTATTTGGGGTCCATATAATAAGGATCCTATTATTTAGGGTACTATATTGGGGTCCCCTATTTTCGGAAACCTCCATATTAACACGCGGCCAGTCATCTGGCCCCGCAGCCCCCGTGTCATGCGTACAATGCTCAAGCTTTGCATCTTGCAGTGCACTGCGATGCGCAGGCACACGTACCACGCTGCTATACCCGAACCGATGAAGATGGAGCTGCCCTGAACACTAGCCACGCAGATGATACCAGCTGGAAGATGATCCTGGAAAAGACCCGAGCCGAGGCACCCCATTGCTGAGCCATCGCACCGTGCGCAGTGGCCGGTGTATCGCATGTGTTTTGATATGCAGGTGGCTTTAGGTAAGGTGGGGGTCAGCTGTTGTCAAAGTCCGCGCGTGAGCAACATCTTGGGACCACGGGAATGGCGACTAGCATTTATGGGCAAGGAAACAGCATCAACAGTGGAGAACAGGCTCTTGATGTTGATACTCATCCGTTGCTGTGCAGGCTAGGCAAGTTTCCGAGTTGCTGGCGCAGGAGTAGCTCAAGAGAAATAAGGCTGAGGGCAAGCCAAGTGCGAACTGCCAAGCCTCTAACCCCACATGCCGATTCCCCATTGCTCCGGGCTTCGTGCTTCTAGCTGGTAATGTGAGGCAATACATTCGTGAAGACAGGAAAGAGAGGGTGAAGGAGGTTTTGGTGCGCCATACATTTAACAAGACAAGGCTTGTAGAAGAGCTATATTCCCAAGCATTCAGAGGATTCCGAAAAGCTCGGTACAATCACCAAAGACAACCTCCAAACCACGTGGTGTTAACAACTCCAAGATGCTCACCACCATCATCAACCCCATGATCGTCACCTCAATCCGTATCACATCATACACCATCGTCATGTCCACCATCACCCGCATCAGCATGGCCCTTATCGTCACCGGCAACATCACCATCATCAGCAGCAGCAGCAGCAGCAGCACCATCATCTCCTTGCAACCTACACCATCGCCACCATCACCATTAGCGGATCAACATCACCACTATCGTTGCTATCGCTTGTTATCATTACCACAACCATCTCAATGTTAGACCGATAGACTGAATTTCATGCGATCTCGAAAGACCATAGCCTCTGTAGCCTTCTCCCAACAGCACAAGTCGCAGATACATCGGCTGACACAAGCCTTCGAAACCGCGACTTAGGCTGCAGCATGTCTCCTGAAACCGCAAGCGAACCCTAACCCTAAACCTTAACCCTGAACTCCTACATAAACCCGATCCGAACTCTGAGCCATAGAGCCCGAAAGCCTTAGACCCCCTCTTGCCGCACCCTTTGCCTCCTACAGTAGAAGCCAGAAAGTTGGAATATCATTATCGTAACCCCTTTAAGGTAAATTATAGGGGATCCTACCATTAATCCGTATTCCAACTTTCTGGAGTTCCCTTTACACCACGAAGTTCTGCACTCGGGCGGCGGCTTGGACAGCGAGCTCGCGCGTGGGAAGCAGAACCAGGGCTGAGGCAGCTCTTTGGGGTTTAGGGTTTGGGTTTTTTTTAGGGATTTAGGATTTAGGGATTTAGGGTTTAGGGTTTAGGGATTTAAGGTTTGGGGTTGAGAGTTTGGGGCTTAAGGTTTGTTTAGGGTTTCAAGCATTGTGGACTAGGGTTTGGGGCTTAGGCTTTGTTTGGGATCTCGGGTTTGGGGTTTAGGGTTGAGGGGGGGGAGGGGGCAAAGGGTTTGTTTGGGTTGTCAGGTTTTGGGGTTTGGGGTTCAGGGTTCAGAATGAAGCTTTGCAGACCTAGGAGTAGAATGTTAGAGAGATTGCAACCTCAGCCGCAATCCCCCCTGAACCCTAAACCCTAGCCCAAAGGTCATCAACCCCAAACCACGCACACTAAGCCGTCCATTTCCAGTGTATGGCTAAGTAGCTGAGAGCCGACAGAAAATTCAGGGCAAGATTATTGTGGCATAAGGATCCCTCACAAACCGGGGAACCCCTGATTGTCACGACAACGACACCCCAAACCCCAAACCCATACATGATACAAACCCCTATAGGAAAAGGCTACACTATTCTGCTCAGATTCTCACCACCCTTATGGCCCAAACCCGAGCTCTAAACTTGCGAAGCACCGGTACACCTCGCGGGCCCTCAGCACTGAGAGCTGTCAAGGTCCTGGCTCTTGTGGACTTTGGTGTTTTGCTAAGGGCCCTGTCTTACATTTGGTTAGTAGGGAACGGAGGAATGGGGTACAAGTATAACTACCATTACTACCATTCCTCCATTCCCTACTAACCAAAGGTAAGTTTTGGTGGCTTTGGGCTTTTAGGGTCTAGAGTCTAGGGCTGCGTGTTCCTGCTGAAGGCGTAGGGCTTTAGGTTTCAGGGCGTGTAATTCTTCGGATTTGAGGCCGCGGGTTTACTGGGAGGTCAGGGCTTGGTGATTTGGGTCGGGCGGGTGGCTTCAAGGCTTCGGGCTTCAGAGTCTAGTAGTACGGGCTTATGCCACGGTTGATGATTTGCCGCGTCTTGCAATACTTGCGCTGGTAGCAGCAGTGGAAGTGGCAGTGGCAGCAGGAGAAGGAGCAAGGGTAGGACTAGGACTAGGAATAGAAGCAGTGGCAGTAGCAGTCGTAGTAGTAGTTATAGCCGTCGAGGAGGCGGGGCAGCAGCAACGCAACACCAGAGTGGTAGTGGGAGGTTTTGTATTTGCAGTATAGACTTCGTCGTCGCCGCCATCGCTGGCCACTGCAGTCTACTACCCCTGTTGTTTCAACGAGTTGTGCATTGAAGGCGTCTGGGGATTGAAGTAATGGGACCAGGCTCGATGGGTCGCGAACGAGCTTGACAGAACGGCTGCCAATTTCTGAGCTGTAAGCACTGCCCAATGCCAACACAGAGGCTACCAGGCCAAGATCTCAAGTCGGCAGAAGTTCGGACGCTTCGGCAGGAAGCGTACGATGCCCAGAACCGAGAAGACAATTATTCCTCAACCCCGTTTGAACCCTATGAGAATTTTCCGACCATCGGCCACTTGAACCGAATTCTTAAAACAAACAAAAACGACCTGAAGCCTGATAACCTTGTAGGACCCCGAAGGGAACCCTTATACTTAAAGGATCATGGGAGTTGTTATTAGGGTAAGTATACTTATAACCCCAATTAGGGTACTTGAAATTAACCGTACTTACTAAGTCCCATGACCCTCCATGTAGGAACCCTTGTAGCCAGAAGAACCGAGGCCCCAGCCCAGCAACGTCTTGCGTCTCACTCGCCGAACCTTGCAGAAGGGCCCAAATGCGAGTTTCCGAACATTAGGGGTACCTTATTTGGGGGTCCTGATAATAAGGATCCCCCTATTTACGGTAGTATATTAGGGTCCGCTATTTTCGAAAACCCCCAAATGTGGAAAAAGGGCGGCACCGCTTTAAGCCGACTGCTTAGGGTTTAGGGCCTATGGCTTTTCGGTAGCAGTAGCAGCAGCAGAGGCTACTTGTAGTTCTTGTAGATGTTGTGCCACTATCATCACAAGTGTGCTTGTCAACGTCAGTTTATGGATGTTTATTGCAAACAATACTTTGAGAGCCAGTTGCAGTTCTGAGCAGATTGCACTCCAAATTCAGGTACACGCAGATCAGTCACCTACTACTCCTACGACTACGACTACTACTATTGCTGCTACTGCTACTACTACTACTACTACTACTACTACTACTACTACTACTACTACTACTACTACTACTACTACTACTACTGCTACTGCTACTGCTACTGCTACTGCTACTGCTACTGCTACTGCTACTGCTACTGCTACTGCTACTGCTACTGCTACTGCTACTGCTACTGCTACTGCTACTGCTACTGCTACTGCTGCTGCTGCTGCTGCTACTGCTACTCCTGCTGCTACTCCTGCTGCTACTCCTGCTGCTACTACTACTACTACTACTACTCCTGCTGCTACTACTACTACTACTGCTACTCCTACTACTACTACTACTACTACTACTACTACTGCTGCTGCTACTACTACTGCTACTCCTGCGACGACTACTGCTACTACTACCACCACCACTACTACTACTTCTATTACTACTCCTACTCCTACTCTACTACTTCTAGTACTACGACGACGACTACTACTACTACTCCTGCTCCTGCTCCTGTTCCTGCTCCTGCTCCTGCTGCTTCTGCTACTTATTCTTCATCTTCTTCCACTACTAATACTGCTAACTGCGACTACTACGACTCACTACTCCTACTCCTCTGCTGCTGCTGCGGTCTCAGCAGAACATGAAGCTATCCCAATTCTGATCTGCAGGACGCTCACTGTACTGAACTCCCCTTCGCACAGGTAGCAGTGACGGGAACCGTACCTTTGAACAACTCGAAAGTGAAACCTTGAGATCACAACTGTTCAGTGCTTGAGCAGGGGAGCAGGGCCAAGTCTAGCAGCTGACGGTAAGTTACACAACAAACTGACCGTGTTACGCTGCAGATTCCGAAGGTTTCAATGGCCTACCGAAACGATCCAATCACATGGCAAGGGCCGGGCTGAGGATGTGGTGCAGGATTGGCAAGCCAAAAGCCAAGGTCTTGCCGCTCCTGGCACCAGACACCCGACATGAGCATTGCAAGCAAATGCCGACAAGGCAGCATCGAATCCATTGCAGATGCACGAAGAGGGTCATGCAGGCATCCGCAGGGCCACTTCTTGCTTCTGCAGGCGGGGACTTGCAAAACGGTCCGAGCGTACCCTGTCTCCGCCGCACCCACCACATCCTTTCGCTGGCGCAAGGCGGGATGAAGACACCGAGCCTGCACGGACAGTCGAGGGCCAGGGCTGCGTTAGGCTCCTTAAGCTCAGGTATTTCAGGGCATAGGATGCCCAGGTCGTGCTGTGCTTGATAGGCTGGTGCAAGATTTCCTGGGTGTGGAGGGATTTATTTTGCGTCGATCTCCTTCCCTCGGTCTCTCGCAGTGTGAATCTGCTTGAAGAATACTGATGACGGCCAAGGAAAGGAGGTGAGAGCTCGGTTGGGGTTGAGGGCGGTTCTAGGGGACAAGGCTTTAGATTTGGGGCTGGGGATATGATGCTCATCTAGTTCATTGTTGAGATAGGATTAAAAATGTACATTTTTATTGCTTATTAGGTTTAAGTACCCGTAAAAATGTAAAATGCTACCCAACTATGACAAAGGAGAGTGTGGGGCTGTTTGGTGTGGAAGCGTTCTGCTTTCGATGCCACCCCTAGGTCTGGAACACTCTGAGGTGAGATCCTTTTCAGCCTGTTCATGTTGGTTTTTTCAAAAAGGGTTTAGGGTTCGGGGCTTATGCCACTCATGATGCCGACCATCCTCAAAGCTTAAACCGAAGCCCTAAAGCCTTAGACCTGGGAACCCCTGGAGCCTGCTGCCAAGCTCGACAGCAAGACTCACATTCCGCAATGCTGCAACCCTGAAGGCGCGCTTTTTGGCCTCGCCGAGCTTTGCAGAGAGTTGGCATAATAGGGAGCCATCATAAAGCCGAAAGCCCCGTGTGGAGGATGTAGTAGGATTTAGGGCTCAGGTTTGAGACTCAGGGCTTCGTCTGCACGACTTCAGAGGAAGTTGCAAAGGGACTCGTGATACAGCACAGCCAAAATTACTGCCATGTTCATGATGCACGTTGCTACAGCTGCGGTGTTTCTTATAAAAAACCGTGTAGAGCCCCACATATAGAAGCCTAGTGAAACCCTACAAAAAGCCCTCATACAACCGCTTTTGATCATGCCGCCATGCTCGCATGACGTGAGTCCCCTCAACACCCATCCGATATAGAGGTTCCCGTGCTTGTACATACCAGAATTCACTCTAAACCCTAAACCCTACAAACCTCTAAAGTTCGGGAGGGGAGGGTTTGGAATTCAGACTGGGGGATCCCGTCGCTCTCCTGAGAGAGCCCTCACATCAGTTCGCACATGTAATTGGAACTTCAAGGGCTGAACTCCCGTTTCTGAAAATTAATCGTACCTTATTTGGGGCCCTGATAGTAAGGATCCTACTATTTAGGGTATTATATTCGAGTCCCGCATTTTCGGAAACCCCCATATAACATAGGGTGCCGAAATAACCAAACGAGGGCGTTGGAGCAAAACGAGTTGTGTCTGGGCTTAGTGGCTGGCAGCAGAACATCTTACCAACTGTTGAGAACCTTATACACAGCATTCCAAGTCCTGATACACCAACAAAGATAATGACTGGTAATGAATGCAGATCCATTTCATTGAAACCATGCAGTAGTGTTCATTTTGGCTACTGTAAGGGTTGGGTCTAGGGCTTGGGAACGCATCAGTACCTACAAGTACCTGGGCCTCCTCGCTCAACCTATATTGAGAGAGCATTGCTCTCTAACACCGGCACAAGCGATTGTGTGACACAGCCGCTGACTGCAGGAAACGAAAAACTAACTGACTGCCAGCTCCTGGCCGAGTGCGCAGCAAGAAACAATGACAAAACCGAGGCCAGTAGTAACGATGACGGGGTCTAGAGAGTCTACAGGGGGAGCTACTACAGCAATTGCCCATGACGCAGTGAATGTATGCAGCAGGATGGCTTCCACTCTGCTGTTAAGAACCACATAAAAGCCAAGTACCCTAAACACGAGAACCTCTACCGAATCTTCAAGAGTAGCGTTCGTAGTTAGGGGGAAAAGTTAAAATTCCCGCTCTGGGCTTCAAAAATCAGCGGAAACCGGACTTTCAATTCTACCGACCCTGAACCCCTAACGTCACATTGTCCATACAAGACAAAGTTTTAACTCAAACCAGCTCAGCATGCCATAATGTGCCAGCCGAAACTCAAGCCAACCCCGAATCCTCGTTTTTGAACTTTCTTTAAACCCAAACAGCCCAGTGCCCACGTAAAGCTCGGACACAAGTCACTCTGAAGCTCAAGATCCGGATAATTACACCCTCGCGGAACGTGTACATGCCCACATCTGTATGTATAGTCTGTACGCACACCTGCTAATTATACATACATACACACATAAACAAATATATATATATATATATATATATATATATATATATATACATACGCACACACACACACATGCGTACACAAACTTGTGAAAATACATGCACGCGACACATGTTGCTTGCAGATGCGTTCTTTGCCCAAGGCGGTGCTTCATACTCAGCAATGCATTAGGTACGGCCCCCATACAGTAAGAGTCTATAATAGGGCTACTATTAAGGTCCTAATATATCTATATTATGAATATTATTCAACTATTACTGAGTGGGGGCCGTACCTAGGCATGCAGGTTTGGATCTCGAAGAACCGACTGTCGCTTCAATCTGAACCTGAAGCCCTCAAAAAACATCAACAACTCTATCTGCTGGCCCACTGCCGTAATACCAGATACCAAGAACACGAACATGAAGCTTCGGAAAGATTCGGACTCATCGTAAGCTTCAGTCTATGTAATGCTTCAATATGCTTCAATAAGTATCATGGGTACACTATTGCTCATGTCGGCAATAGCGTGGTACAGGTATGAACATGCATGATATTCATCTGCCTGTCTCTACTTCTATCACTGGCTTAGGAATAGTCAATGTAGTACAAGGTATGAATCGGTATGAATGAACAAGTAAGAAGGTGCGGGAAGGTAAACTACATCATCCGAGAAATGGGTACTGCTTCAATGAAACTCGTCAAACTGACAACCATAGGCACAGGTTGTCGCAAGTTTTGGCATACTTCTGAAGGATGGTCAAGAGAACCTAGGATATGTAGAGTTTAGGATTTAGGGATTCAAGGATTTGGGGATCAGGTTTAGGATTTAGGGTTTAGGGCTTGGGGATCCTCCTTGGCCAGATCCTTGGTGTTCCGAAAAGTCGGCAGCAAAGGCACAAACGAGAGCAACAGCAGCTGATCTGGATTGGCCCTTTAAAGCCTCTGAAAAATATTCGTGAATAGGGTCCTATTAACCCCAATAAGGGAAAATATAAAATGTCCCAAGGGCCTACCCAGTGATAGAGATCTTCATGCAAGCAGGAAGGGCTTAGGGTTTAGGGTTTAGGGTTTAGGGAGTCGCACAACCTGGTACAACCACAAGTATCAACAGTAGTGAAGACTCCCTGAACCCTAAACCCCTAAACCTAAGGAAGAACTGCAAGATCTCTGACACAAACGGTTACCGTCATCTCCAAGGCAGGAGCCGGCTGGGTGAAACTCTAAACTATTGGGAGTTTCCGAAACTTAGGGGTACCTTATGTTGGGACCCTTATGATAAGGATCCTACTATCTAGGGTACGATGTTAGGGTACCCTATTTTTGGAAACCCCCATATAAAATGCCTGATAAAAAAACTCTGTTAGAAGAGCTCTGATAAAGCTTGGCTCACGTAGGAGCAGCATGTCTTTTCGCTCGGACCTGTTGGGCACGTAGAGCTGCGACTACAGAGCGGATGCGTACTCAACACACCTTTGAACTAAACCTTCCATAGACTGCACTAACTTACCAACAATCAAAGAAGCCACGGAGTATCATGCCAAAACTTGATGGTTTTGGCCGGTTACCACGAAGACGCTTCCTGTGCACGGCAACGGCAGAGGGAACATGGGTTCTGTTGACGTGCCCAACAGCCTCATTGCTCAGCGAGGTCTCCACAGACCCGCGAGTGTAACACTGTTGTCAGCTTCATGTAAGCCTTTACCCGAGACATTTACTGGTAAAGCACCCCCCAAACCCTATCCTACATCAGATAGACATTATCACATGGCCTCCTGCTCTCCAGCCCTATAATATATATATATATATATATATATAGTTAAGGGCGTTATAAGGGTTTAGGGTTTAGGGAAGTCTACGGCTTAGGGTTGCGAGTTTGAAGCCTCGGAAAGCACTAGGGACACCGAGGCATCCCTTGCCAGGCCCTCAGTCTTCAGTTGCGTTGAGCTCAGCCTCAGTTGGGTGCTGCTTCTCTGGGCCTGAAGTGTTGACTGTTTAGGGGCTCTACGGGGCTGGGGGGTGTAGGGAACCTAAACTTCAGGACCTACACCCTAAAACCGCAATAAACGCTCAAGCCCCCGAACCCTTGAGGGTTCAGGGTTGCTCTGAGGGGTTAGGGGTAGAGGCTTACCGCTCTAGGGTTCAGAGTTTAGGGGTCTACAGCTTAGGATTTTACCCTAAACCCTAAACCGTACTTGAAGGCTCATGGGGCTTAGTAGGTAAGGTTATAAGTAGGTTATAATTAGGATAACTCCACTTAGGGGACTTATAACCCAGTAATAACGTACTTACTAAGTCCCATGATCCCCTAAGTAAACCGTTTGAGGCTAGGAAACCTGGGAGGCCTAAGATCTCCTCATGGCTACGAGCTATTCTGCACCTACCTGGACTCACCTGGGTGGTTGTCAAAATTAGGGTTCCTTTTTGGGTACCCTAAATGTTAGGTGCCGTATTTTAATAGAGACCCAAAAAGGGATCCCAATTTTGACAACCACCCACCTGGGCTTGCCAACTAATAATGCTCATTTCGGCTTATGCGCTTAGGGCGCTCAATTGTCCTCAGAGGTCCGCGACGGTCAAATGTCAAATTTGTTTTCGGTACTCTGTAAGAAAGGATCCGGATTGTATTGGGCCATCGTCTTTCCAGCAATGCTGCGAAACTCCCTTATGCTGCTACTACGGCTCCCTTGCTGCTTCTCTGAAGAGCTACGGAACGGTGCGTTCGGAAGGTGATGGGCATTGATGCGTTTCGGCTCCTGCACTTCATCTAGCAATCCAGCAATGGACAACGCCAGAAAATCAACCATGGGGCTTAGGCTGACCTTCAATGTGCAGCAGAGGTACCATTACATCGGCGTTCTCGCCATCGGTAAGCCTCAGCAATCGCAGCATCAGATGAAGCAAGAGCTCGTTCCCAAGGAGTGAGGGTTTAGGATACCTGCCACCTGTTCGGTTGATCATAATGACTCCGATGCATACTTGCTGTACTCTTATCTGAGGCATCATTGCACCCAGTACTGTACCACTGCCATCAGTTTTCTTCGACTGAGCAGCATTACGAAAATTTTGACACAGTCATGTTAACGTTTGCAATCACAGAACAGGCTACGTTGAGTTTTCACGCCCTTGAAGTTCCTTTCGCCGCCCAGCGACACGTCATGCAGAATCTGGTTCAGCTTGCTCTGCATGTTCATCCGGCGGGAGAAGAGCTGATTGGAAGCTTTGCACATACCCAGCTGGCCTTGGTAACGGACGGCACGAAAATGGGTCTGCAGATTTTTTGTCGGTGGTTTTCTAGGGTCTACGATTTAGGGCAGACACGGGAGTTTCCAAAAATAAGGTAAGGATCCTTATTATGAAGGCCCCAGAATAAGGTACCCCTAATTTTCGGAAACTCTCACATACGAGTCCCGGGTTTTTCTTAGACTTCCGGCAGTTGCTGTGGCAAGCAATCCTCGCATCGCACCGGCTGTCACCTGAGACTTTCTTGTTGAGGGCATTCCAAGCAACCAAGGAGTTCTTCGGGCTCACTGCGGGTTGCCAATTAGTTTTTTGGGGTTCATATTTAGAATCCTATTATTATAAGGTAATCCCAGAAAGGAACTACTATGGGGCCTATGGTAATCCCAAAACAGCACTACTATGGGGCCTATATGATGAGTCGGGGCTATGCATGCCGAGGCACTTTGGAGCCGCACAATGTCCATGTCTCGCTGCGCCTGCGAGCATGGGGATTCTGCTCTTCTGTCGCACCAAGTTAGACCAAGATCAGGTGCCCATAATAATGTTAGTAATAATAGTGGTAGTAATAATGATAATGATCATGATAATAATAGTAACAATGGTAGTAACAACACAAAAGGGCCTTGGTTTTGTGCTTGGAGGCCCTTGAAAACTCCAAAACCAAGGCCCTTTTGTCACTCCGCACGCGCAGTTTGGGGGTTGCTGGGAGGGGGGGTGCTGAGTTTAACTGCCTAAGGAACACAGGAAAAAAACTTGCCAGCTTGTCACATTGGTGTGCGACGCCTTGTCGCGGTAGGTGAAGACAGCTTGTCACTGTAGTCTAAAAGCTTGTCTGATGAAGCAAGATCCTGTCATGGTAGCTATATTGTGTGCTGAGTTCAGAACCCCCAAAAAGTGTACACTTTCAGTTTTATAGTGGGTAACATTATCCCAAAAAGTATAAAGTGTATCCACTAGCTACTAAGTGAACAAAACCCATTTCCCAAGATCCTGAAACTCGAAGCCCAAGGCCTGGATCCCAAACCACCACCCTCAGGCCGGAGCATCGACCAAAGACACCCCGTGTAGAATCCTTATGAATCCTTGTCGCTCTTTCAACACCCTTCATCGAGGAACCCCTCCTGAAACCCAGCCCAAAAGGCCAAAACCGCTGAGCTCCGTGCCAGCTCGGAGTAGAGGAAGTCTACCTGGGCCGTCTTGTTACTGCAGCGATTCTAAGGATTTGCCGGGTTCAGGGTTTGGGATCCGGGGTTTGCTACCACCATATCAAATGGGGTCTAGGGTTCATCGGTTACGGGGTCAGTATCAGTGTTATTGCTGCACATTTGTGTGGTCCAGGGGTGCCAGTAGAGCTGAGTGTCGTGCTGGCCCTGAGTCAGTTTCAGGGGCTCTTCCAGTGTCAGATTTGAGATGCTTGACATGAAGATCGGCTGGGGGGTGGGTATCTATGATGATGACGGTGATGACGGTGATGATGACGATGATGCTGCTGTCGATGATGATAATGGTGGTGATGGTAGCGATGGCAGTGCTGCTGCTGATGATGATGAAGATGTCGATGATGATGATGACGATGATGATGACGATGATGAAGATGATTGTGATGATGGTGGTGATGATAAAGATCATGATCTGCACCATGGCCATGATGATTGTGGTGGTGAGGCGGAGGATGATGATGGACGATGGATTGATTTATTGATTGATCGTTGATGGTGCTGATGATGATGGTGATGGTGATCACAGTATTGGCGATGGTGGTGGTGCTGGTGATGATGACAGCAGAGGCTATACTTTGAAGAAACCTGGTGCCGGTGCAAGCGGTGATGATAATGGCGAGTCTGATAATGCAATCTCATGGCCAAGAATAGTAGTGATAGACTTACCGCAACACTTCTGATCGCTTCTTGAACAACGCCTGTATGCCAAGACGAAACTGGCAATCATGATGGCCACTCAAGGCTTTTCCATGCTTGCGTAGTGAGGCATCGGCTGCAGGGCTTTTCGGGTGGGCTTCCTTTCTTCGGCGGACGGCTTAGACTTCTGTCTTCAGGCTCGACAGTGTCAAACTTTGAAACACAAAACCGGGGCATATGCCCCTCATTGTCTAAGCCCAGGTCGGACAAGCGGAGGAGGAGGAGGAGGAGAAGGAGGACGAGGGTTAGGGTTTAGGGTTTCAGCCGCTAGTTAAGCAGCTATTTTTCCGATTCAGCCCAACCTTCTGGTAGTCGAAACCCTTCGAGATCCGTGGACTTCACCCGAAACCCTCGGTATAATCGTTAGATATGATTAGGCTTCCTTTAACCTAGAACTGTAGTACAGCAGAGAAGAGCGAAGACGAGGTTTCAAGGACGCACCTGATACTAAGCTTTCTGATTTCTGGACTCAGAGAGTCAGAGAGGTCATTCCGTAGGAGAACTGGTAGCGGCTGCAGGCCCCAAACCCCAAACCCCAGAAAAAGCAGCGTAAAACGGAAAATTGCTTATGAATAGAATAGAGTAAACCCCGACCCCACACCACACTCCCAACCCTTAGCCCCGAAACCCTCTACCCCAAACCCCAACACCAGCATGAAACCCCCACCCTAAGCCCTTAGAAACTTCAAACTCCCAAAGCAAAGAGACCCGGGGCTGATCCGACCCGGCCGCTTCCGACAGAGCCGAAGGATGGGATGCATCTTGGCGCAAGGGGCCTCTCTCCTGGTATGGCACAGGAGCTTTTGAAGGCTTCGTGGGCTTTAGGCCGCTTAGGTTTAGGGGCTTTAGGTTTTTTTTTGAGCTCCTTTTGATGCCTGCTCCCGGAGCTTTAGGGTTTAGGGATTCGTCTTAGAGATTAGCGCTGGGGCTCTGTAGGGCTCCAGGGGTTGAGTTTTCAGAAACCGTATACCGGCAATAGTCTCTAAACTGTGCGCCTAAACCCTCAAACATCCTCAATAGTCCCTGCATAGTTAGAATATATGGTTTAGGGTTTATAGGGCTTAGGGTGTAGAGCTATGGATACAGACAAAAAGCAAAGCCTCATGGTCGGGTTGCGACAGGTGGCTTTTGAATGTAAGGGCAGTCTGCGCCGACGTCCCGAACTCTATCTCTGCGTGTAGGAAGTGGCGAGCCGAAAGACCATATGATTTAGGGTTTAGGGTTTTTTGGGTTTCGGTTTCAGGGCTGGTGGAGTTACCTATATCATGACCGTACAATACGCCCGGACAACTATTCGCCTACAGACGCTGTCCCTCATAACTTGCAGCATAGTCTAGCATACCCCAAACATCCCTCCACCCTTTTAGCGGCTACCTGTTACTGCTGCTGTGCAGTCTTCAGGTCATCCTGCAGACATCGCTCTCTCGAGGGTTGCCCCAAGTCACGACAGTTCCATCGACACGAATGGCGGCAAAAGCGCCACTGCAAGCCTGGATCTGCTGCACCGTCTTCAGCTGGTGCTGCACAGCTCTGCTATCACCACCAAACTGCGAGTCACCCCACGTCACGACGGTTTCGTCACCAAGAACGGCAGCAAAGGCACCACTGGATGATTGGATCTGCTGCACATTCTTCAGCTGATCCTGCACAGCACTGCTGTCACCACCAAAGCCAGCATCGCCCCGGGTCTCTACAGATCCATCGACAAGAATTGCAGCAAAGCTGATCAAAGAGGCTTGAATCTGCTGCACATCTTGAAGTTGACTCTGCACAACACCGCCACTACCAACACTGTCAACGAAACCCCATGTCACAACAGATCCATGAACAGTGATGGCAGCGAAAGCGGATCTAGATGCTTGAATGTGCTGCACATTCTTCAGCTGATCCTGCACGGAGCTGCAATCTCCGCCGAAGCCAGGATGGCCCCAGGTAACGACGGTTCCATCGCACAGAATGGCAGCAAAGGCGCCACCAGATGCCTGGATCTGCTGCACGTTCTGCAGCATACCCTGCACACCGCTGCTGTCCCCGCCCGAATCCGCAGCCCCCCAAGTCACGACAGATGCATCGCCACAAATGGCAGCAAAAGCGCCGCTTGAAGCTTGAATCTGCCGCACATTCTTCAGCTGATCCTGCACAGCCTGGCTGTCACCACCTGCCGTCGGAACACCCCAGGTTACCACAGCTCCGTCGCGAGTAAGGGCAGCAAAAGCACTGCCACTTGCTTGGATTTGCCGCACGTTCTTCAGCTTATCCTGCGCAGCAAGACTGTCACCACCATGATAAGCATTCCCCCAAGTCACGACAGTTCCATCGACACGAATGGCAGCAAATGCGCCGCTGGAGGCTTGGATTTGCTGCACGTTCGTCAGCTGGTCTTGCACAACGAGGCTGTCGCCACCACGTTGAGCATTGCCCCAGGTCACAACGGTTCCATCGCCAAGAATGGCAGCAAAAGCACCATGAGATGCCTGCATCTGCTGAACATCCTTCAGCCGATGCTGCACAGCAGAGCTGTCACCCCCATTGGCAGGACAGCCCCAAGTCTCGACAGATCCATCGCCATAAATGAAAGCAAAGGCGAATTCGGTGCGGCAGGCTTGAACGCTGCGAACTTGTAAGGTGAGTGTATCACCGTTCTGCACCCTGGCATGCTTGATCGGCGCAGATTCATCAAGAACACCTCCACACGAGTCCAGAAGTCTCCCTTTGCTGACTCCCAAAGCAGACTGAGCTCGAAGGCTCAATTCTGCCACCTCTTCATCCAAGCCTGCTTGCACAGTCACACTCCTGCCACTGAGAAGTCCAACTTCCACGGTGACCGACATATTTGCATATGACCACGTCCAATGTCACAGCTGTGGATCGAGCCCTATCTGCAACGGTCAGGAGGGAAGTTGAAGGGCAGAGAAAAAACTGAAGGCTTCTGGCGTCTAGGCGTTTGTAATGCAGTGAAGCAGTCTGAGCCGAAGCAGTCTGAGCCCAAAGCTGCAGGATCTGGGTCTCTTCGGAGTTGAACATCTGAAGACCGCGCTTCTGTAGAGGGCTTTGGATTTTCCCCGGCTTAGGGCGACCTTGCGCCGATGATAAGGAGCAGGAGCAGGAGACGGAAACTCCACGATGCCGAAGCACAAGTACTACAGCACTGAGAACTAACATCCGCTACTCTCAGATCACACTCTGAACTGCTGTATCCCCAGTCCGGAACCCCATAAACCCTAATCTATAAACAAGGTAACTTTACTTATAATCACAAATATTCCCCCAAAAAACGTACTCATAATGTCACCCCGGGGATTCCTGGCACGAACTACTCCCAGAGCCTCGCCGCGGTCACGCGCTTGCGATCGCAGCTGCGACAACTCCTCGGCGCGGGGCAGCAAAATGCTTTGGAGGGTTTGAGACGTCGGAGTTGCGGTTCATCGCTCAGGGATTAAGAGGCTAAGGGGCGGGGGTTACGCAGCACCGAGACCCGGCTTCATGGCCAAACGACCGGCTTCGTAATCTTGTCTTTCGTTCGGGTGCGGGTCGGGGGACCAAAGTGGCAAAACGTGGAAAACACAAATGTGGGGCCCGAGCCTGAAGAACAGCATCATCACTTGCGAAACTGATCGAGAACTGTCTCTGTCTTCACCTATCAGGACCTATCATGTGCCAGGGCTGATTTTTGGCCCCTGTATCTTCGCACGTTCTGGCAGGATCCGGCTTCTTGCACTTTCCCCATCATGAGGTTTCGGGTCGGTGCTCATCGCACTTCTTGCCGCCACCCTGAATCATTGAGAATCCGATGCTAAAGGCTGCAGCCAAGAGTCCCTGCTTTGTCGTCGCAGCTCCTTTTTGCGCAGAACTGGAGTGTCAGGGGCGGGGAAGTCCCAGAATCCATAGATCGGGGCTCAGGGTGTCGAGGGATTGGGATACCCTCTACCGGTTTATATGGGAGTTTCCAAAAACAGGGGGCCCTAATTTAGTACCCTAAATAGTAGGATCCTTATTATAAGGACTCCAAAATCAGGTACCCTCAATTTCGGAAACTCCCATATCAATACGAAGGGCATAAGTCCACCAAGAACGCCCAGCAGCTGCAGCACCTGCGTCATGAACATCAGCAACATCATACTCACGTGCATCGTCATCTAAACACTATCACCAACCTGATATTCTTCTTGCTTGCAACCGCCGCATCGTACTGTACCAGCACTTAGAATAGCACCGAGGAGGCATAGCAGCAATATCAATCTTTAGTGACTGCAGAGACGACCACGTTGATAGCAGTGAGATGAGGAGCAGTATTGGTGACGGTTGCGCTGGTGGCTGAAGGCATCGTCATCGCAAAGCAAGTGGTAAGCGAGAGCCGCATAATATAGGGGCCTCAATAATTACCAATACTATTTTGGGGGTTCCTTATTATAATTATAGTATAAAGGGCCCTAAAACCCTATTCTAATCATTCTGGCCCCTACATGAAAAATCGAACGAAAGCTTGCACCCTTATGCCAACTGCTCTGCACAGGCCAATCGAGACTACCAGGATATACACTCTCCATCCGAGTTCCCAGTCGGGAGCTGCCAATGCCTCCACCAGGGAAACCATCTTGCAAAGTCCAGGAACTTAGGGCCTAAACCCGAAACCCTAGGCCCTAAATCCTAAACCCTCGAAACCCCAAACCCCAATCCCTAAATCCCTAAACTCTGATGCCTACTCCCCGAATCCCCTACCCCCCAAAAGGCCCGCACGGTCCTGCTCAAGGTCCCGAATCCGTCCTCGATCAAGCCGGGACTGGACCTGTGCGTGGCTCAGCTTCAATGAATGCAGACAGGTAACAATCACATTCGCAACGTAAACGATGATAACAACAACAGTAACAGCAGCAACAACAACAGCAGCAGCAAACAGAGTAAGACTACTGAGAGCAACAACAACAGCAGCGAAAAAAGTAAGACTACTGCAAGCAATGACACTGGGGCTGGGGCTGGAGCTGGTTGTGGTGCTGTCGTGGAGGTGTCGTAGGCCGAGGAGGAGGAGGAGGAGGAGGAGGAGGAGGAGAAAATATCTGGTCTGTGAACGTCTGGCCTCGAGGTCATTTTTCTCCGCTTCCAGAAGCCTTGTCCTGGCGTGGGGACTCGTTCTGCCTGCTGCTACCACGCACGAACATTGCAACTACGAGTGTTACTTCTACAGCTGCTGCTCCTGGCAGCAAAGCTAACAGCCGTCAGCACTGGTAATATAGGTCCTTAATACTAATTAAGATAAGGTCTTGGGGCCCAATATATATACTATATCTATAATAAGGAGCCCTCGCAATGGTATAGGTAATTTTTTCAGGCCCCTTTCTTACTGCTAGTCTTCACTATTCACCCCTATCATCTTTGGCTCCGGTGTATGATTCTTGGAGAGCGCAAAGACAGAGTGTAGGGCCATGAGCTGTCTAAGAATAGGGGCCTCAATAATGAGAGTGAAGGTAGGGTGTGATACCAGCAATCCACATACAAGTAATAGCATATGGGTGGTTGTCAAAATTATGGTCCCCCTTTTGGGAACCCTGAATAATAGGTGCCGTATTATATCAAGGACCCAAAAAGGGACCCTAATTTTGAGAACCGCCCATATAGAGAACAACCGAATCATGTCATTGCCTATATTCGAAACTTCTCGACTATCGCCTGTGGTATTCAATCGGCCTTTGACGCTGCAGTGCTACAGGAAAGGGCCTCCGAAATTCCTGCAGCCTTCGCCGTTCGAGCAATCTGTATAACATTGCTATAATATTACGATAATATCACCATACATAATTCTTATAGTTGTTACTCGTGAAAGAAGTCTGCGAAAACATCAAAAATCCAAGCAAACTCGGGCTCAGGCTGTGGCCAAAGAGCGGGGAACAAGCTAACTAGCTACAGTGTTTTGTGGTTCAGCGTTTCGGTGGGGGGGATCAGGGCTTCGCGATGCGATCCCTAATCACGGTCAGGACATGGATAGTATGGACACGAAGGCGGAAGCAGCCGTTACCCGGCAACCCTCTTCACGATTCAGGCAGCGAATCCCTGCATGAAGTGAAATCAGTGATATGCCGGACCCATCAGCAGCAAAGCTCCAAACGCTTCTTCCCGAGAGCTACCATGGCACAGGAAGGAACACAGTTAGCCTGAGCTCTATCCCTCCAGACTCGAACTCCCGGAGTCTCCACCCAACATCACTGATGCACGGGCCTTGCACTCATGACATCCATGGACATGTCTTCCTTAAAGCAGAGCTCCGGTGGTGGACTTAGACTTAGAGTGTGATCTCGGATTTCAGAGTCCGATTGCACAATTGCACGGAGTGTATGTCTGGCCTGTTCTACATGTACTGAACTTGCACCTCTTAATCAGATGGCATAGATTTTAAACCACTGATAAACTACAGCCCGATCACGCGACGCTTACATTACGGAGCTTGAGGGTGTGCGAGAAAGCTTCGGTGACGAGCGTTTCCGGGCTGGAAGCCAACACCGGCTCGTGAAGAAGGCATAGACATAGAAGCAGTCTTGTGTCACACGGGTTATATAAGGTTTAGGGTTGGGGTTTGAGGTTTAGGGTGTAGGGACTGTTGTCCTACACGAACTGTGAGACCTGGCTGCACCACATCTGGTCTCAGGATTGTCATGAGTTGCAGATACACCTCTCGCGCAACGCCACAATCCTCTGCTACAAGGCACCTCTAAACCCGAAACCCATACAACCCTAAACCCATACACCCCTAAACCCATACACCCCTAAACCCATACAGCCCTAAACCCATACACCCCTAAACCCATACAACCCTAAACCCATACAGCTCTAAACCCATACAACCCTAACCCCAACCCCTGAGGCAAACCCTCGGTCTCAACCAAGCAGCCGTGGACTGCCGGGGCATCGCAGCTGGAGACTCCTGAAAAGTCAAGCCCCACTACTGAGTGTCAAGGCTATGGTTTAGGGTTTAGGGTTTAGGGTATAGGCTTTAGGGTTTAGGGCTTAGGGTTTAGGGTTTGGGGTTTAGGGTTTAGGTTTAGGGATGGGCTGTAGGTTTTTCCTACAGAGTTTACGATTTACAACCTCGGCTCCAGCAATACAAACATCATTCTGGCAAGCATCCCAACAAAGCCAGCCCTCAAAGGGAACGGAGCATGCTGTCGATAGAAGACCTTTACACACCGAGGCATAGCAACGAGCCCACACACACATACAGACATGCAGCTACACTGCAGTGCAGTACTTCTGCCAATTGCAGCGTCGGCTGCCTTTGGATTTGTGATCGTCATAGTCGTACAGAGTTAATCATGGCGCTGGAAATACCCAGTGATTCGTACATACTGTATCATATCACTTGCTGCCCTCTTTTGCATAATGCTTGCCAGGGCTGTGCCGCACCACTGGGCCCTGTAATCCCACACATTCCCACAGGTACTACGACACCCTCGTCGTAACAAAAGAGCCTTAATTGATTACCTATACAATTTTCGGGGCTCCTTAATATTTTTGTATACTGAGCCCCAAAATCCTATCAAAATAATGGAGGCGTCTATTTAAAATGACCGTGTGCTCATGTGGAAGCCCGTTAGGGCGTATTGGCCTGAAAAACACAGCCACACACGGATCAACATCGACATCGATCGACATTCATAACTCCTCGTCCTCAACTGCCAATACATGAACTGTGCATACACCAGGCATGTTGTTATATTCGATTCTCTGCTTAAGACAGCCTCCATCATCGTGCATTCGAGTATGCCACGAAAATTCCCTGCCTTGGCGGCGTCCATGGCCTGCCTCACCTTCTGGAGTAGGAGCTCCTTCAGAAGTATGCAAAACTTTAGGGATTATGGGACTGCGAACGGGGCCGATTGGGGGGCTGCTGCTGCTGCTGATGTGCCGGTGCTTGTGCTTGTGCTGTTGTTGTTGTTGTTGCTGCTGCTGCTGCTGCCGCTGCTGCTACTGCAATTGGTGTTGGTGTTGTTGTTGCTGCTGTTGTGGTGGTTGCCGTTGGTGCAGGTGGTGCTGCTGCTGCCGCTGCAGCTGTTTAGTTGTTAAGCTATCGTTGTTCTTGCTGTTGGTGTTGCTGCTGCTGCTGCTGCTGCTGCTGCTGCTGCTGCTGCTGCTGCTGCTGCTGCTGCTGCTCCTGCTGCTGTTTTCGCTGCTGCTGCTGCTGCTGCTGCTGGTGTAATAAGATACGCATGACCAGTGGTTGACACTCCCGACTGGAAAGCTTGTTGGAATACTAGGAAAAAGTTTGGCCCATGACAGACTCTATCAGTCTATCAGTGTGAACTACTACGAGTCTGATGTCTTGCATCGCATGCGATGGCACTGTGTTTTAAGGACAGCGGAAGTGGCGACGAAGACGTGCCGCCGCACGCTTCCCGTTACGACGTCTGCAACTGCGTTCTGCGTCCTTCTCAAAAGGCTTCGCCAGGAAGTCAGTACTGCCGCTTTCCTTGAGCTTGAGGTTCATGGTTTAGGGTTCCTTGTATCCTTGAGCGTGTCAGATTAAGTGCGACTCGTGCTAATGCCGTTAGGAAGTATTCTTGCCGCCATCAAGAGCTCAAGCTCAAGATCAGGACAACGACAGAGTTCCAGTTTGGGGCAGGCCGCTCGCATCAGTCAACACAGAAGGAATGGAATGCTGTTCATCAATGGTACGAGCGACTAGAAAAGCAATCGCCCGAAGTAGGCCTTAGAGCACTGATGTTCTGAAGTGAATACTGTGGGCTTGTGTACCGTTCTCAAAATATAGAGGGTGGCATCGCGTCTAAATATAATGCTGCTGAAACCACCATGAGAAAGGAGGGGGTGTGCATCCTGATGACGATAGTGATGACGGCAATGACTTGTGATGATGATGGTGATGATGATGATGATGACGATAGTGGCTCTTGAACCGACATCTCAGTCAGAACCCACATGTCGGATGTCACTGAACTACCAGTCGCGACCAGCATGGACATGTCCGCTAGTCATGTCACACGGGGTCACCCTGGTGGACTCCACAACATGCTTGGAGAGGATTGGGCATGCCCCAAGATTTGCTGGATAAAAGCCTACAGCCATGAAGATCCACCCTGAAAACCTTGGTGAACACAAAACCCCCCAACCTGCAAAACCTGTCTGGGTGCAGCTGAACAGCGTGGCACTTCATGGCAGAAATCTTGGACATGTTGGCCGACAGCATCATGATAGGCACTTCCTTCTTTGGTGAGTGATTTGCAGTGGCCAAAGGATTTCGAAACGCTTCGATAGGGTCTGGTTGCATCGTGCTTCAGTGCGTCACTTATCGAGAGAACGAGTAGTCAATGAAACAGACGACGCTTGCACTACGGCTACTGTCGTTGTGATTGTTGCTCTGAGGAGCATGTACCAAAGCGAAAATTATAGCTTTCGACAAGCCTTAAACAACACCTGAATATCCTTGCAAAAATGCCACCACGACTACTTCATGCTAACTGCTACCAGCACCAGCACCACCACCACCACCACCACCACCACCACCACCACCCCCACCACCAATGCGACCGGCAATGGCACTGCACAGCGACTGCCACTGCAAATACCTAGCATGCTGCATACGGCTGCATGCGTCTGCACACATTGGCACGCTTGTACAGTCCAACATGCGTACACACATAAGTACACAAAACTCATAGGTGCAGACATATACATATACACATGCCTACGTACCTACATACGTACTCGATAGGCTGCTGCCAAGAGCCCATGCCACGCAAGAACTAAAAGTGAACTCCCTTGATCATAATTACATAAGAACTGTATTTTTTTGGCCCCACGTGCCACTGTCGTCGGACTTTCGGGCTTCGGCCCTGACAGTACACCCAGCAGAATCACCTGAAATCTCTACACTCCCGTACGACCTGAACAGCAAGCCAGCTCCTATGCGTGTCGAGTAGCACAGATGCGCTCTTCCATATGCTGGCGAAGCTTCTTGCAGACTTCGTAGCCTTCACTGGATCTCTGGATCCGAGGTTGAAAGCTTATGGCTCAGCCGATTTTAAGCATCTGGGACTTCGTATGCGTGTGTGTCTGCTGGGGGCGCAGGAGGGGGTGCGATGATTGTGGGTGTGGGTGGGTGCCGACATGGGCCTGCGATTCTCCACCAGTCACGTTTTGCCATTGAAAACAAAATGGATATTAATATACATCTATATATATATATACACTTATATTTATGTTTATATATATATATATACATACATATCTTTTTACAGTTTTGTATACATCTCACTATCGCTGCTACTGTTATATAATTCTTCTTATGATTCTTATTACGATTCGTTCTCTATCGTTACTGTTTTCTGCTAGTCTTCGTGGTAGGGATAGGTCCAAGGCTCCTGTCATGCCGGGCATCTGGATGTCCAGGAGCACGATGTCTGGCAAGATCTCCTTCTTCTGGTGCTGCTCTTCGAGCCTCACTGATTCGGTATGGCCCCCACTCAGTAATAGTTGAATAATAATTGAGATATAGTAGGACCTTAATAGTAGCCCTATTATAGACTCTTACTGTATGGGGGCCGTACCGAACTCACTGAGGTGATCTCTTCGGGTTTTGTGTTCTTTTTGAGAAGGTTGTTTGAAGGTTCAGGCTGTCGGGTCTACGGTAAGATGTGAAATGTCCAACAGGCTCTCGTAGTCTAATACTCTGCCAAAGAATAATTCCTGAAGTTGTTGAGGCGCTTCACCTCAGAGCTGCAAGCTGAAGGACGGTAGTTGGGGGTTTAGGAGTTTAGGGTCTCCAGTCCTAAGCCCTACGTAAACCCCAAATCACAACAGAAGCACGGACAGCCGAAATCCCCTGGACCACAAGCCCCAAACCAGTCTCCAAAGTACCAAGGAATAACGAGAATGGGTTACAGCACCAACAGAAATGCTCAACAGGCAACCACACTCGCAACATACATAAGTGGTAGTCAAAATTATGGTCCCTTTTAGGGCCCTAATAGAGTACGGCACCTACTATGTAGGGTACCCAAAAAGGGACCCTAGTTTTGACAACTACCCTCATCAGACAATCACCACCGCTCTCACTAATTACTGGCCAACACTAGGACTCGCCCAGGCGCGCTCAATGAATAGCACGGGTAGAGAATAGCATAATTATGGTCGGGAACGCTTGAGGATTCTTGCGGAACAGTATTGCTAAGCCTTTTCAGCTTCTGCGTTAATAATGATACTCCAACCGACCGGTTCTGAGCTAAGGCCCTGGCCATTGAAGTGCTGACGGCCCACTCATGCAACACCTCAGGCCCATTGCAGGCCGCAAGCCCACTGTTATTAGTATGACCATGATTATAAGTATACTGACAATAACTATTATGACTGTTTGTAGTACACGTGGCAGTATTGTTCCCAATGTTTCTCGACATACAAGACACGTAAAGAAGCTGTCTTCAGGTATCAACAACTAAATAGTAAAACCGTTAAGTAGTGTAGACGCCGAAGCTCCCGCGAACAAGCATGTATAGGGTCATTTCTGTATTGCTTCTTCTTGCACCCGAACGCTCAGACGAACGCTCGGGTTCAAAAGGCTAAACGATGCTGGGTGTCTGTGTAGTAGGGCTGCCAATGCAAAGGTCTGTCTTGGGGTTTTACAAGGATGACGGTAGAAAAGCATAAATCCTGCACTGAAAAACAGAAAATCGCACGAACTAGAGATCCTATCTCTCAACGCCAGTCGTTTCAGCATTGAAATCGTTTGATGCTTGCTTGGCATTGCAGACTATCCGGAAAGCTGCACATAGCTACATTGCACAGCCACGTCGATCAGCTGGTCGTCTGCACTCCTGAAACCAAAACAACGACAGAAGAATGGACGCCTGGAATTCGTCACACACGCTGGGGCAGGGACACAATGTCGTAGTCACTCTGCAGCGAAGATCTGATAACCTCTTGGTTGACCTCGTCGTCATCTACGGAGAGGATAAGCGGCCTGATCCAGGGAGTGAGAAGCCCAAAACAACGACAGAAACACAGGCGACGGGGCCTAACAAAAGGGGCCTAAAGAGCTAGTAATAGTGCCCCACCCTCCCGTTTACTCCCACATACACCAGACTACGCAATCCCCCCAAACACTGGTCTAAAACATGAGGCGCCTAAGTGAAATTTGACTGATACGGTTGGAGTTTCTGGCCTGAGAGCACAGAGACCGACCTTTATAGGCCCTCAATAAACTCTACCTGAACCCACAAAGACCTACCTATTTTATGGAAGGAAATCATAGTAACAAGAAACCTTCAGAAAGCATGTGTTCTGGATTCAAGCACACCTCAAGATAAATGCAACTGTGAGAACTAAACTTACCCCGCGCACCCCGGCCTCGCTCGTCGCGGCCGCCTAATGGGAGGAACTGCCGGCGGGGTCTTCACGGGGACTGGCTCGTCACCTCAGCGCTACTCTAACCTACAAGACATGAAAGGGTAACGGACAGTCTGTGAAATGAAGATGTAACCACCATTAATGCGACGAAGGGTGAACGCCAACAGCTCAGAGATTCATGGCTTGAGCTTTGGGAAGCCTTCAAAGTATGATGACCTGACATTGAAGTTACATAGAACCGGAGCTTAGCGAAAACGTGTTTTGGGTAAGGTTGAGAGTGGAAAAGTGGTATGAAGCATTTCGAGGGTCGGATGCCTTTCTGATGATACGCCATCCCTACCGTGCTGCCACTGCTTTTTGAGTTGATCATGCCCACGCTGTTGATGGCTGCTGGCTTCGGGCTTAGGGACGGTGCTGATACTGGTCGTCGTAGTGGCGATTGTTGCCATGGCCACCGCGAGGAAGTCTCTCCTACTGAGTTACCAGTAGTGCACTCCAAGCGCTTCCATGGCAACTCACCATGAACATGCTAACTGTCACGGCAACCGTCATAATTCTCGTTTCTAGTGCCCTCAACTATCCCAACCCCCAAACCCTACACCCTACTTTTAAGTCGACATTCGGAATATCAAAAGCTCGTAGATAAACGAAGCCTCGAAAGCCAAAACGAGGCTTCGACGGTGTTGGGTTTGGAGTTTCAGGGTTTGCGGATTTTGGGCTTTAGGATGTTTAGGGTTTAGAGCTTTAGGTGCAGCGACTTGACCAACCTTGCGTGTACGAGTCGAATTGAACACCCGTCCGAGTCGTTCTATGGCAGACTTGTGGGATCTGGGGTGTTGGACTGAACCCAAACTCTAAAATGCCGTAAACCCTAAACTCTAACCCCAAACCCGACCTGACTCTCTGCCGTGTAGCTTGGCTTCTCCAAATCGGGAACCTCACATACGGGATCGCCTGGGCCACAAGCAACTCCGTGATTGTGGGAACGGCTCCCTTCTTGCGGTAAGGGCCTGAGGTTCGAGATGCTGGGATATTGGATTCCCACCCTCACCAACCCAGACCACCAGGAGGAGGATGCACCATAAGATACCCTTTAGTAGCGCAGGGTCCCACATGATTGGTTCTACTTTCCAAATCCTCCTCGGATTCTGGGAATGTCGGTGGTTTTTTCGAAGAGAAGAAGCCCCCATGTGAGGTCACTGCACTCCCAAACCGGTCCTATAACGCCGACGACCCGAATTGCTTCATGTTCAGAAATGGGTTTCGGGAATGCTGTAAGCTGTCCAGGAACCCGCTACAAGTATGTCCCTTTGTGGTTAGATGTAGGTTAGCCGGCGCCCAGAAACGAAAAAAAGCATGCACACGAACAATCTGACAAAAACGCGAAAGCCCAAGGAACAGTATTACTCATTGTCCAGGCATCCACAAAAGCAGCTTTAGCATGTGTCTACCGAACGTCTGCGCACGTTGTCGTCCCACAACCGGGCTTTCAACGGCAACAAAGCCGCCGCCCTGCCCCGAGGCTGAGGGCGTCGCAAAATTCATCCTTCTGGCAAGCCAGCGACACGATGAAGCTCGAACCCTTGCCGATGTCTGACCTTAGTCTCGACAGGTTTGGGAGGGTCCTTTAGACCTCAAAAACTTACAGCCTGAACCAGGCACCAGACCTGATGGCGGTGGAGATTTTTCAGATGGAGTTTGTACTGGGTAATGATGACGGGGATAGCGATGATAACGGATAATGATGATGATGATGATGATCAACATCAGGGCTGGAAGGAGATTGCCAAAACGATCTTGACTACAGTCGTCTTGTAAACTACCGACGATTCCATCGCTCTTGGCGTCAGTCCAAGAGCAGAGAGCCACGAAACGCATCCGAAATTGAACTTCTGGGACCTACTTTAATAGAACCTCAACGCCCTAAACCCTAAAACCTTGAGCCTGCAAACCCAAAACCCTTATAGGCACTAAATGGTCACCTAAACCCAAAACCCAAAACCCTAAACCCAAAATTCTAAACCCTAAACCCAAAACCCTAAACCCAAAACCCCTAAACCCGAAACCCTAAACCCTAAACCCGAAACCCTAAACCCAAAACCCAAAACCCTAAACCCTAAACCCTAATTAATAGGCCCGAAAACATGAACCCTCGAACTCTCCTTCAACAAGTTTTGTCTGAGACTGGAGCTCGACGCGGATGGATCCTCCGTGCTGCTCCACGATCTCCCAGCAGACCGCCAGGCCCAGCCCCATGCCCTTCGGGACTTTTTGTTTTTTGAACACCTTTTTCCGTCCGCCTAAGAAGTTTGGGACTTTGGGTCGTATGGTGTACGACTTTATGGTTTAAGGTCCTGTTCGAACCCCCTCGCTGTAAAAGAAACGAAAATCGATCCTTGAAGCGACAGCACAACGGCACGTTCAATGATGAGACATCCTTCAATGCGAGGGGTTTCCGGAACACTTGGGATTTTTTGCATGGATTCCCTTGACGGTGACGAATTGTATGCGCCCTGGTGTTGTTTTGGCATCTTGAGAGTTGAAATTTCAAGGTACGGGGTTGAGGGCTGAGCATTCATGTACTTTCGCCACAACGCGCCGTTAGAACGTGTGCTGCTAGATAGACAAGATCATGCATGATCAATTACATTCGCATGTACATGAAAGCATGCATGCACATGTATTTCTACTTCTATGTATAGAGCCTCCTCGATCTGTTTTCAATATATACTTGGAAATATATGCATGCGTATACTTATTAGTATAAACACGCAGTCTTTCGTCCGTCCATTCGGTTGTTTATGTGGTCTACTGAACTAGTCAACAAAACAATAGCTGAACATCCGAAATCCCAAAAACCCTTATGAAGGCTGCAGGCCTGGAAGTTTCGTGAGTCACCGCTGTTGCTGTGCTCCTGCCACGGCGATGATGAACTGTGATTCGGGGCACGTGGTCTTGCGTTAGTGTTCCATATCTCTCGGTCCTTTATGGCTTGAAGCTTACGAGTCTTCGGGCTTTTGGGTTGCAGAGTCTTTAGTCAATCAGCGCTTCAAGTTGTTTTAGGGCGTCGGGTTTGCTTTTCAGGGTCTCACAGCTCTGGGGCTTCCAGCTACGCACGAACACCAAGCTGATCACATTGACAGGAAGATGGGAAAAATGGGCCAGTGGATTGTTGGCGTAATGCGTAAGGGCCAGGCGCCTTGTCCTTTTTGGACCCTCATAATCGTTCCGAAAGAGTATGGATAGAGGCTTTGCGCATGCCACACATAAATCGTGCACAACTCAAAGACTGGCGCAGCCTCACACCACCCAGCCACTGTGATCTTCTCCTCTCTAAACCACAAACTTCCTAGAGCATAAACCCAAACATTCGCAAACCCTGGACTCTAAACTTCCTAAACCCGAAACTTCCTGGCCGGGACCAACCAAGTCCGGGGAGGACTGGGCCTTCTTATCTTCTTTCTGCGAATACTTGGAAGATCATGGGACTTAGTAAGTAAGGTTATAAGTACCCTAATTGGGGTTATAGGTATAGTTACCCTAATAATAACTCTAGTTACTAAGTCTCATGACCCTTTAAGTACAAAACCCGAGACCTAAACCATAAACCCCAAAACCCGAAAGGCAAAAGGAACAATAAACGCTTCATGAACCCCAAAACCTTAACCCCTAAAGCCATATATATCAAGCCCTAAACTCTCAGAAACGAGCCTGTTCGAAGGGCTTGAAGATTCGATCCTGGGCGTCTTTCGAGATGCCGCAGCCTCCCAAGAAAGCGATACCCCGCCGGCGGAGGCATTAATTCAAAACGACCCCGGCAGTACTGCCACAGTGGTAAGACGACTGACCAGGGGTTTGGCCGTCTGCAACAAGTTCTCAACGTGCAGCCGAGATCTCCAAAATGCACTTTTTTGGTGCCTTAATGAATTAGCATAGGGTTTGGGTGTATATGATACTGATTACGACTGTACAGGGGTTATAAGGAGGCATTATTTCTAGCAGTTCTGACCGCTGCATTAAACATGCATTCCCCACAGGCTTAGCATGGCCCCACAATCGAACATCGTGTGCTGCCTCGATTTAGGGCCTGGTCCTTAGGGCTTAGGGCTAAGAGGGCTTATTATGTGCTCTAAGTGTTGAGAACTCTTTTGCCACTGTGATTTTCGCTTGTGTGACAGATTCGCGTGAGATCTCCAATTTCAAGCTCAATATTAGGGGTGCCTCGATACTCGGCCCTGGCAAACTATGCTGCCTGGAGCCATGCTCACTTTACACATCGTTACACGCATACTTTTTACACTAGCTGACAAAACATCAAACCCCTACTCTCAACCACCCGGTACCTCTAGCTCTCAGCTGGAAGGTCTGCAGCTTGTGCCTGTGTCCACCACGGAGATTTCCAGAATCGACTTGTCGTGCAGATACTTCCCGCACACTGAAACCTGTGCCAGCGCCAACACACTCCAGACACGGAACTGCAGCAAGGACATATGGGGTGTACAGTGTAGAGTTTTGGGCCTTCCAAGCCCTATCCAACATTTCAAACCTCGCCGGCGCCTTTGCCACCAACTCCGGCAATGTTTAGCCCTAGGGATGATGATATAAATCCTGCATTACTAACCCATAATAAGGACTATACCATAATTCCCATAGTTTAGGGTCCTTAAGGTAATGCAGGATTTATATCATCAACAGTAGGGCAAGCCCGAAACTTTAAGCCCTAAGCCCAGGGGCAGAGCCCTGCTTCGTGAACTTGCAGGCATTGGTCACCTCAGCTTCGACCCGCATCCCACCAAAACCACAAAAGACCCAAAACTTCAAACAACTGACAGTTTGTGATGCAGTGGGCAGAGCTCTCCATCCCAACCCTAAGCCCTTGACCCCTGAACCCTGAACCGGAAGCGATGCCTAAACCCGAAATCCCGAAACCCTACCCTAACAGAACAAAAGCCACCCAAGTGGCCAAGTTGTACACGAGCTGTGTGAACTTGTACGGGTTTCCCAACCTGGGATTAGCGTGTGGGTTTTAGGGTCCAGATGGGTCTAGGCTTTGGGCTCTAAGGCGTATTGCAGAGGCCTGAATATTTAGACAAGCTTGTGGTGTGGTGATTGCTCACTTGGCGCTATCGGTTCATCTTACATGTTGAGCACGCCCCCAATTGGGCGATAACGGTTCACCATATAATTTGGCGATTCCGGCTCCTCAAACACGCCAAACACACCCCTCCTTTGATGATTCCGCTTCGTCATATATCTTAAACACGCCCCTCTCACTTGGCGATTCGGTTCATCATACACGTTAAACACGCCCCCTCATTTAGCGACAACGGTTCATCATACATCTTGAACATGCCCCCGGTTTGGCCATATCGGTAGAGGTTCATCCCATATCTTAAACATGCCCCCTCATTTGGCGATATTCATTTATTCCGGCTCACCATATATCTTAAACACGCGCCCTCATGTGGCGATTCCGCTTCACCACATGTCTTAAACATGTCCCCTCATTTGGCGATAACGGCTCATGATAGATACCAAACATGCCCCGGCTTTTGCCGATAATATTCCCCAACTTTCCAGGTGCAGAACGAGCCGTTCATGAGTTCTCGTTCCGCAGCGGTTTGTGCATATGCATTTGCTTCATTGCTTCTTGCACTCGCCCCTAATGACTGTTAATGACCTACTTGGCTCATGCGCATGAAAACTAAATATGCAGGGAGGGGCGGGCGTATAGACCCTTATCGCAAAGCAATAGGGGTCTGTGCGTGTTACAGAGGCCTATCCCCCAGCCATAGACCCCTACGTATAGACCCCTACCCCATCTATGGTGCACCCCTAGCCATAGGTACCTATCCGATTCCCGTAGACCCCTATCGATGGGGGTCTATGGCCTGATGGGTAGGCAGGTGGGGGCAGGGGTCCATGCCTTTTCAGATAGACCCCTATCCGATAGGGGTCTAACCCCGATCCGATAGGGGTCTATCCTTGTTCAATACGCAACGACTTTCCAAACTCTTACTCAATAGTGTCGGAAATTATTTAGGCCCCAATAGTAAACTTTCGGTTTTCGGGACCTCGAGCTGGGATGCCTCGTAAAACCAAGCTCTTCCACTACCTGCCAGCACCGTTTAATCCCACCGGGAGGTATAAGTAGAGTAAGTATTGTTAAACGTTATGACCCTTCTTATAACTACTCATGAACCTGTAAGTACGGATTTTCACGGCGAGAAGCACCACGGGCACGCGCTCCATGTCGCGGACGAGGTTTCGGAGCTCCACGCCTGAAGAGCCAGAACCCGGGATGAGCCGTGAACCCCTTGAACCCATTGCCATGATACTACATTCTATATATATATATATATATATATATACACATGTATTTTCATATTATATATATTTATAAACATATATTCACATATACGTTTAGACATATAGACTAAGTATCAAATGGCCAGAAGCCCGGAAGACCGAAAGGTCCCTCGTTCCGAAGCCCGAAGCCACCAGATGCAAAGAATGTACAAGCCGTGAGCGCGGCCTGTCTTGATCAAAGGCTTGTTCGCCTCGCTGCGGACGAGACGGCAGAAGATGTTGAGACATGCGAGTTTGATTAGGGTTTGGAGGTTTGCGGTCCGATTAGAACTCCCTACATCCCCACATCCGTGTAGGCTTCAGGGGGGACTCAGCCCTCGCTAACCCAAACGACGACAGGTTCAGAGAAGAAGAACCTTCGCTTCTATTCGAAGCAATGGCTGAGCCCTGACAAGATGCATCAATCGACGTTGTAGCAACCGAAGGTTGCGTCTCGGTTGTTTTGAATGACGACGACTTTTGCTGAGCCGATAACCATAGCAATGCGTATCAGACACATAGGTCATGAGGGTGAGGACGAAGATGATAATGATGATGGTGGTGATGCAGATGGTGATGATGGTGGTGGTGGTGGCGATGGTGACGATGGAAATGAGGATGAAGATGGAGATGAATGATAGGAATAATAGTGGTAATAATCATACGAGTAAAAAATAATAAACATGGAAAAACAATAATGCGATGATGAGGATGAGGATGGTGATGGCGGTGGTGATGATGGTGCTGTGGATGATGAGTGTGATTGAGGGTGACTGAGGTTGATGATGGAGATGATGACGATAGTGATAATGGTGATGATGCTGATGGTGATGGTGGAGATGATGAGGATGATGATGATGGTGATGATGATGATGATGAGGAGGAGGATGATGATGATGGTAGCATAGGATGTTATGACCGTGCTCATCATCATCACCATCATCATCGTTGCCACGATCATGAGGAACCAGCGGTAACATCATCGGAGGAAAGCTCATTGTCGCTAGCCTCGAGAGAGTTCCTAATTTCTTTCTTGACCCTTTGAGGAGTCTCACTGTGTGATTTATGCAGGATTTGTTCGATCAGCAGGTGGGGTCCTGCCGGGTGCATGCTTTTGGCGCAGCCCTTTGCGAGATAAAACCTAAGTGGCGCGATTAAGGTTCAAGAGTTCAAGCCTTTCCTTCGCCTGCGAAAGACTTCTGGTACACCTTGCTGCAAAGAGAACGTAGGCTTCAGTAGACTCAATCTCGGAAGAAGTGCCTTGTCGACGGCATGACGGCTCATGACGATGATCTCCTCGACGATGGAAAGGAAATTCACCTTCCCGGTCAAGCTACAGTTCCTGAGATCCCGAATCACAGACCTTAAAGAATCCAGAAAACCTGAGCGCCAAACTGCTATGCTACGCTCATATGCGACAGATGCTGCGAACTGCCCAACATGCAACTTCGGAAACGAGCAATGAAATTTGCGGAGAGTCCCTATTCGGCCCTTAATTAGAAGCCTCATACAGCCTCATATAACCTACATAACCTTTATGGAAGCTTCGGTCTCATCCTCAAGCTAAACTCCTCCGCAATCTATACCAAAGCTGAGAGCCCTGGGCACCGAAGGAGCCCCTCCCGTTTTTTCGTCCCATAACACCTGCAGCACACAAGACAACCCTGTCCCTAGAATCATCTGCACCATACCATCCTACAACTACACAAGACAAAAGCCTTACACAACCCCACAAACGCCGCCACAAGCCTTCTTGCTACAGGGGGGGGGGGGCATTCATTGCCATTTTTGGGTCGGATGTATACTTCGAATACATGGGGACGACAATAGGGAGATCTATATTGTTCGCCTCTAAACCATCACTGAAAGGCCGTATAACACCAGATAAACTCTGGTAAGACTCTGATCAAACCGACGAAATTTTACACCAGATGAACTCTGGTTAAGACTAACCGACGAAACATTATTTCAAAATTTCTACTTCTCCGGAGCGCCGGCCTTCTGCCGCATCATCGCGAGGGGCTCTTGGCTCTTCTTGCGCTTGTCAGACTCCGCAAGGTCCATGATGTTTGTCACCAGGTCCTCCAGTTCTTGGGGGAGTTAGGGAGTTTAGGGTTTAGGGTTTAGGGTTTACGGGTTCTTGGGGGAGTTAGGGAGTTTAGGGAGTTTAGGGTTTAGGGTTTAGGGTTTACGGGTTCTTGGGGGAGTTAGGGAGTTTAGGGAGTTTAGGGTTTAGGGTTTACGGGTTCTTGGGGGAGTTAGGGAGTTTAGGGTTTAAGACTTTCGGCAAGTAGGACGTCGGGGCGAGCTGTCTGCTAGCCGATGATCGCAAACATCTGCCGAACTCGACCACTCCTGTTGGAGAGATTCTCTGAGCAAGGCTCACGGTCAGGGTCCTTGTTGTAAGTGTGCCAACGCATGCCATCATCTGTCGGGTGTCCACAAAGGACCGGCAATCAATGGAACCCCTTGTAAGTATGAAGCCAAGAAGAAAGAGGTTTGCAGCTACTAAAACTCGGCCCCCTCTGGCGGGAGGGTGCGGAAGCGGTTCGACTCCGTGACGGTTCATACAGTGAATACAACAACGACAACGAAGACGACAACAACAAGCATAAATCCAACAAAACAACTGCTGGCGGAAACAATGCAAACCAAACTAACAGGAACATGCACGACACCACATCAAACAATCAACACATAGCACACAACAAACAAAACCCGAGAATGTGGAAAATGCAGCAACGTCATCACCATCAACATAGTCGTCAACAACAATCGTCATCGACATATCAGTGCCGAGATCAAGTGCTACGTGTACACTCGAAAGAAACACGTCAGCTGGTATAAGGCAGCATTGATGCAAGGTCGACAGCATCTAACAAAAAAAAAAACGTTGGTCGTCGCAAGCCAAAAGCCCTGAACCCACCACATGCGCAGAGCCACGGAACCCTAAGCCCCGAAACCTCAAACCATAAACCCGAAACCGAAACCGAAATCCCGAAACGAGAAGGCTGAACCTGAAACATTACACTAAACCCGACACCTTAAGTCTCAAACCCTAACTGCACCCGAAGCACGAAACCCCAAACTCGAAATCTCATGCTCTGAACCCCTGAACCCGAAGCATGAGACCTGAAACCCGAAGCCTTACACCCCAAACCCGAGACCTGAAAGCCTAAACCCGAAGCCTCAAACCCTGAAACCCGGAACATGAAACCGAGAACCTTAAGCTCTGAACCGCGGTCCAGCAGTCGGACGGCGCAACTCCGGACCATGCCGAGCCTCAGTTCGGTGACATGTTACGGTGGGGTGTAATGTTTCGGATTTCGGGTTTAAGGTTTAGGGTTTAGGGTTTAGTTGAGGTTTCGGGTTTAAGGTTTAGGGATATTTTTGGCCAGGCTCGGGCCTTGGCCAGTTCAGGGCTCAGGGTTTCGGGTTTTAGCAGGTTCAACATTAAGTTACAGCTGAGGACTGCTTTGGGCCCAGGAATTAGGGGCCTATACCCTGTGAACCCTAAGCCCCTAAACCCCTAAACCCTATACCTCTGAACCCTAACCTCTAAACCCTAAACCCCTAAACTCTAAACCCTAAACCCCTAAACCCTATACCCCCAAACCCTAAACCCTAAACCCTATACCCCCAAACCCTAAACCCCTAAACCCTCAACCCTAAAGCCTATACCCTAAACCCTGATATGTCAGCGGATTGTAAGCGGTGAAGCCTCAAAGAGCTGCTGGTGCGGTGCTTCTCCCGTGTCGGGTTGGACAGTGTCCCGGTGGCGCTCACGAGGGAGTTTCCGAAAATTTGGGTACCTTGTTTTGGGGTACTTAGGGTACTATCTCGGGGTCCCTATTTTCGGAAACTCCCATGTGCCTCGGCCCCACATCCCAAACCCTCCAAAACCGTAACGGGAGTTCCTTTTGAGGGTGCAGGGTCTGGGTATTTGGGGCTTACGCCTTCACAGTTCCGGTAGAGCTTGGCAATTTTGGATTCACGGCTGTCTGGGGTAGGAACGGCACTAAGCCGTGTCCTTCGCGGTGGAAGTATGCACAACCGCTCGCTCACCGCAAGATCCGGGTGCGAAAGCAGTTTCACCCTAAACCTGCATAATAATAGATACATGAAGGAACCACAAGCAGTTGCAAAGTCAAAATCCGCATGGGCTCGCAGCACTTCCGGCAAAACCCCGTGCACACTTTCAGAACCTAAGATTTTGTGTGACCTAAAGCCCAAAAAAATCAAGCTATCAAGTCTAAAACCCACCCTGAACCCTAAATACGAAACTAGAAACCCCACACTCCGACTCCTGAAAACCCTACGCCGCAACTTGTGGCAACCCCTAACCCTCCAAACCCCGAAACCTTTCAGCCCGAAACCCTAAACCCGTAAACCCTAACTGAACCTCAAACCCCTAAACCCCTAACTGAGCTTCACTTCACTTCGCAGCATGTCGGTCGAAAGGTTTGGAGCTGGAAGCACAACCGCTTTGCGCATACGGCAAGAACCGCGCGAGAAGCGGAGTTGAGGACGCTCAAACACAACCCAGCGAGCCAGAACGAAAAGTGAAAGAAGCACGCAAGGGCCGGGAGGCAACCCCTAAACCCTAAACTCCCTGAACCCTAAACCCTAAACCCGAAACCTCTAAACCCGAAACCCCTAAACCCTCAACCAACCCCTAAACCCTAAACCAACCCCTAAACCCTAAACTCCCTGAACCTCTGAATCTCGCCACGGGGCTGCCTTTTCAGACCCTCGGTCTTCACAACGTCTATCCTTCTTGCGGGTTTAGGGTTTCAGGCTTGAGGGTATTTAGGGGTTTGGGGGCTAGGGTCTGAGGTCTAGGGTTTAGGGATTTAGGGTTTAGGGTTTAGGGGTTTAAAGGGCTTAGGGGTTCTTCAGAACGTCTATCGGGGTCCACTGCCAGGGCTTGTGGGGTCCAAGCTTTACGGCCTAGGCTTCAAGTCTCGCATACAGCCCGCGAATCCCGTCTCAGTTTTAAGGTCTCGATATTGAGTCTACTGAAACTGTAGCCGTGCTCTCGAGTGATTCATGAAGGCCCAGGGTTGAGGGCTTGTGCTCTTTACCGTTGATGATACGAATCCTGCATTACCCATAATACGGAATATACTATAAATCCCATAGTTTAGGGCCCTTAAGGTAATGCAGGATGTATATCATCAACCGTATCACGAATCCCCACTCGGCGTGGGAGTTGCCCACCCGGCAAGCGGAGATCCTCCGCACGAGCATGGTCATCACGATCAGGACGACGATAAAGATGAGGAGTGGGATGAGGGAGAATGAGGGAGGTGATCAGGAGATCAGGAAGAAGGTGACGCTTTGGATCAGGGCTAGGACCAGGCATAACGATTGAGATGAGGGCCATCGCCATCGTGATCCTCACCTTCAACCTGGTCTTCATCGTTGCATCTTCATCTTCATCATCACCCTCTGCCTCATCTTCGTCTTTTCTTCATCTTCATCATAACCCAGGTAACCACCATCATGATCACCATCATCATCATGATCGTGACCATCTTTCCCTCACTCTTGTGGGTGATGCTTGAGTGAGGGTTTCGCCAAGCAGCATGCCGGTGGAGAGTCCGATCCTCGGTATCTTCGTCAAAAAAGCTCGCACAGCTTTGACAGGCGGCTTTTGAACTTTAGAGATTTTAGGGGTTTACAGCTTTAGGCCTTTAGGGGTGTATCTGCATAGGGTTTAGAGCTGTGGGATAAGGTCTGAAGGCTCCCGAGAAGGAATTCAGAGGAAGCTCGGGGTCAAAGACACCTGATGTCGAATCACTACATCAGTGTCAAATTAGGGGTACCTTAATAAGGATCCGACTATTTAAGGTACTATATTCGGGTCCCCCATTTTCGGAAACTCCCACATCAGCGTCGCCAGGGATGCCTATTTGCAGAACACTCGGCGAAGGGCTAGAGTCAGGTCAGGCTTAAGGGCTTCTGGTTTAGGGTGTATTTGAGCACCTGTTTCCAAACCCGAAACGACTCCAAGTTGGCACAACATCGATGGGATGCCATGCAATGCTTCAAAACAAAACCAGACCATTGCAACGGCGAACGATGCGAAGGAGTGCGGAATGGCAGATCCAAAAACAAACAAAAGCCTGTACCAGCAGTCTTCTGGTTGAGTGTTTCAGGCGTACTTAGAGGATTCAGGTACTTAGCAAGTAAGCTTATCAGTACCCTAATTGGGGTTATATGTATAGCTACCCTAATAATCACTCTAGTTACTATAAGTCCCATGACAACTTAAGTAGGGTGTAGGTTAGAGTTCGGGGTCTTGGGTTTCAGTTTCCCTCTCTTGCCAAAGTCCTGAAGTCTAATCCCTGAACCCTAAGCTCTCAAGCTTAAGGCGCAAACTGCAAGCCCAGGCTCATGCCGTGGAGGGGACTGCGCAGCTCATGTGAGACCACCTTGGCCAATCTAGGTCTTGGGGTTTACTCGAAAGTTGCCATCGTAATGCAGGGACCGCAATAATCAGAATGGTAATTTGCCTCAAGCCCAAACCCGGACCTGAGACATGCCAAATTTCTCGAAGGATCATACCGGGAGTTTCGTTTAGCTCGACGTCCTTACATACGGCGGTCCTTGCACGTAGGAGCGCCCGCCCCAAGACTCCAAAGTCAGAGCGGTTTTAATCTTATGGGGTCATACAGGCTACAGCTTCGGAACATGGCTACATGATATCAAGCACAACACTTACGACTCCTTTCCCACATCTGCACTGTAAGTACCATACTGCGCAATCCTACGTAGAGTAGCTTGCGAGACCTGGCAGCCGCGGCACGGCCATAAGTCTGCTTTTCTTCTCCTGGATCTGACTGAAACAAGCACAAAGTGCCCAAAATCAATCCCCCTCCCTTTGCACAACGCATAAACAGTCGTCATCGGCATCGACACCCTCATAGTGACCGTCGTCGTCGCAGCAGCAGCAGGAGGAGCGGCGGCAGGAGCAGCGACAAGAGCAGCAGCAGCAGCAGCAGCCGCCGCTGCGGCTGCTGCTGCTGCTGCTGCTGCTCTTCATGCACTTCGGTCGATCGTTACAGGTACTGCTACTGTTACTGGGACCATTCAGCTGTTGGTTCATGATCTGACAGCAGCACTCCCCGTCCTCCACGCTTTTGAGCTCGGAGAGTTCTGTCAGATCCTGTCCGGAGCCCCAGTCGCAGATGCGCAAATTACCCAAGATGCGCAAATTACCCAACATCCGAAAGCGAACCCCAAACTAAGCCCCTTACCCCTAAACACGACGCCTCATGCCCTCAACCTCGAACCATAGAGACTAGAACCCGTAGGTCCGAAAGGTCTCAGCTTGGAGACATACAAAACTAAAGCCACGAAGTCTTTTGGCCTTAAAGTCCTAACAGCATCAACAGTGACATAAGGATCGAAAACGATGACAAGCAGAAGAACTTTCAACATGACCAGTGCCATCAATGACAGACGACGGCAATGGCAATGTTGGCAGGGGAATGCTGCCATATGTATATATATATATATATATGTGTGTGTGTGTGTGTGTATGTATGTATGTATGTATGTATGTAATGTATGTATGTATGTATGTATGTATGTATGTATATATATATGTATGTATATTTATATATATATATATGTATGTATATATATATATATATATATATATATAATTCGTAACGACACCAGTGCAAAACAGCAGTAGTATCGGACAACAGCAGATAACAAATAACCATCATAGCAACGGCCACGGTCAGAAAACATCTGACACAAGCATTGACACCGCAATGAGGACCATCGTATTACTTGTCAGGCTAGCTGAACCGCCACAAGTGGCTGCACAGAAGGAGAGGGCGTGCTTGCTTCATGCAAGACTGAGGACGAGTTGGAATCAGTAAAAGTGAGGCTTGACTTTCGAAGGCCCTGGACTTGGCGGTGATGCCAAAGCAACCAGCCCAAAGCCCGCACCAGAAACCATGTACAAGAGTTCAGGATGACAGGCCCCAAGGAAAGTTTAGCAGGCGAGCGAATGAAGCCCGCCTGGCCAATGGCCACTATCGACTGGGGCACACCATCCTCGAAGCAGGAATCAGTGAGCCCTCCGTCTCGCGACGAAAGGGCGATGTTAGAGATGTTCGTTGCGATCAGTAAAGGCAGGTAGAAATACTCACGGTGGGTTTAGTCCAAGCAGACTGCTACTGGACTGCTTCTGCTACTACTACGACTACTACTCCTACTGCTGCTACTACTACTACGACTACGACTACGACTACGACTACGACTACGACGACTACTACTACTACTACTGCTACTACTACTGCTGCTACTGCTACTACTACTACCACTATTACTCCTCCTGCTGTTGCTGCTGCTTCTCCTCCTCCCCTCTGCGCGAAGCTCTGCTACTGCGTCTGCAACCGCGTTCGCTGCTTCTTGCACTCCGCCATCTCTCCTTCCTGCCCTACTGCTCAAGAACTGATAACACTGGAGAATTATGCCGAACATCCTTTTCGATGCTTCGGCAGCACACGAAGCTACAGGCCGGCCCGGAGCTGTGGCCACGTGCCTGTCTGCGCGTGCATCGTATGTCTGTATGCCTCTGTAGGCGTGCACACATGAGGGTGTGCGGGTGTGTATCTATGCGATCGTTTCGACTGTGTGCGCGCGGGCAGAAATTTGCGACATCTCTGCATCCAAGATGCAGCCTCCAAGTCAATGGGGACCAGGTTTAGTAGCAGAAAAGCTTCCTTCTCTGAACCTCAGCTCAAGGGTCTGCTTGCACGAGGGGCTTACCAGACAGGCTTTCAGGAAAAAGGGATCGCTTATATGGACCTTATATGGTAGGATCCTTAAGATAATGACGCCCAGCTACGGACCCCTGATTTCGGGAAGGTTTGAGCTTGCACACGACCTGGATCCAGCCACTTCAGGTTTCGAAAGTCAAGACGAAAGTCACAGCAAGCGAGCGTGCTGGTGGAGACAGAAGAACGGATGAGAATACAGATCGACAACAGCAGCGGCCTTGGGAAAGATGGGTCTTGGGACTGATCACAATGATAGCAAAACTGACACTGACCCTCACAAGTGCTCGCTTGCCCCGGCTGCCGACATCCTACTGCTCGAAACCGACCTCACCTGTTGGAAACGAGCTGCTTTGCATCTTCTACAGCCTGCGTCAGTAGTGAATTTCGGGAGTAGCATCCTTAAACTCTCAACCCCAACAAGAACGCGAAGCTTAATCACTGCTAGCATCATGTAGGGCCCCAAAAAAGCACATAAGCAAAAATTAGGATAGGGATATCCCATATAAACCCCCTTATAATGAAGCCCAATAGGGTAGGGATATCCCGATAAAATGCTTATGCTTACATGCTTTTTGGGTCCCTACTCATGGACCACGAACCCTGAACCCCTAACCGGCGGCTTGGGCCGGTTTTGGGAGAAGGTACCAAAGCCCCCCAAGCAACACAGGGACCCTAATGCTTAGAGCCTAAATGATTACCTATACTATTTTAGGGGTTCCTTAATATAAATATGGAAAAATGGGCTTTGCTAAAAACTAGAATAATTAGAACCGGGCTTTCGTGCATATTGCAGTACCGATAAATCAAATCGAGGAGCCCGAAGGACTGATACTGGTCATTATTCAGGCTTTCTAGACTGCTTCAGGGACACCGTCACCCGGAGCTCTGCACCTGGCTAGAACCAAAACCCAAAAACACCTTAGACCCCCTGAGCCCGAAGTACAAAATCATACCTTAGAAGGGGCCCCCACCCTGTAATAGTGACCATAAGGATTATATAGGATTGTACTAGGGCCCTAATATATTTCTATTATACCACTATTACAGGGTGGAGGCAGCTTCTAAATCATACCCTTCATTGCTGAAGCCTCGGGCCCTGAGCCTCCTCTCCATTCTTAAACAGGCAGACTGTTGCACGGCGTCTTGGCCAAAACTTCTTAACGGCTTAGGGTTTAGCGTTTAGGGTTTCACGATTCTTAACTCTCTTGCTGGATATCTGAGAGATGGCTGATGATCACAGCGGTAAGTCGCTAAGATTTGGGCTGTGCGATTACTATCGAGGAGCTCTTCTGAATTGTTCAGACTTCGGTACTATCATCAGCAACACTATCCCCTTGTAGATTCATTTCGTCATAGAGCCCAGGGCCCAAGGTATAGTAGCCTCGAAACCCTAATCCCCTGAACCCCTGATCTGACTTGTTAGTAACTAGGGAGAAAAAGCACTGACAATTACGTCATAATGACTCCTTTCAGGAACAGGCCCCAAAAAAGCATTCAAGCATGGTACTTGAAAGCCCAGTCAAAACCCGAATGCCTACTGTGTCGGAGTCTCGGACCCCGGTGTTCAGGTCGCGACTCGGCTGGCGGAAGGTCACCTCAAAGAGTCCCGAACAGTTCCTGCAGGAAAGCGTCTGTAGGGGCCTTCAGGCCTTTTGGGCCTTTGGGATTTAGGGCTTTAGGGGTTTAGGGGTTTGGGGTTTAGGGTTTAGGGTTTAGGGTTTAGGGTTTTAGGGTTTAGGGGTTTGGGGCTTTAGGGTTTAGGGCTTTAGGGCTTTAGGGCTTTAGGGTTTAGGGTTTTAGGGGTTTAGGGTTTTTTTTTAGATTGCACTGACCCTTTTCTCCGCTGTGCGTTGTCCCAGACCCTGCTTCTGGTGGGAGGCTTCCACTCGGTTACCAGAGGGTTTAGGGTGTAGGGTTTTGGAACTTAGGGTTTTGGAATTTAGGGTTTTGGCATCTGGAGGCGAACCTCGCTCCGGACAAAACCCCCGACCTTACTACCCCCAGGTCCCCGATTGAAGAAACTAAATTAGCGGCGACTTGCGCGTCTAAAACCCCCATAGACTCCCAACAAAACTACCAAAGAGAACCAAAGTAACCAACACAAACGCGAATCGGGGACCCCAAGAAAGAAAAAATAATGAAAAAAAAGCATGCACGTGCAGTTAGGGAAAATGGCAAACGGCCAAGGCCCAGCAGAAAAAAAAAAACGATACCGATATGTTAGATAGGGTGCAACAAGGTGGACAGATGGATAATACCCTAAGGTTAGACAACACTACATAGATAGCTACATACACACCCAACCCCCCAATACACAGGCCTACTTACGAGGCGGGTTCTGATAAAATTGAGCCTTGGCCTTTGCCTCGGCTTTGGCTTTGGCGGCCGCCTTGGGCGTAGCACGCCGGTTGTGCCGGAAGATGTAGTTGCGAGGCAACGGAAAATCGCAGCGATCACTCCTCTGAGCGTAGCCTGGCGGCAGACAGAAGAACAACCGAGATCCCCCCAAACGCCCAAAATACTAGACCCGAAACCTTACATCCCCGAGCCCTAGATCCTTAAACGGCGGACAAAAAAAAGTACTAAGCCGAAAACAATCCTAAACCCCACAAGCCCAAGCACTGAAACCCCGAACCCTAAAACCCGAGACCCGGACCCTAAGCCCCCGCATCAAAGCCCTGGCACCAGAACCACTAAACCCAAAGACCATAAGCACAAAAAAAAAGCCCTGAACCCCATAAGCCCTAAACACAAAATTCCTACGAAGCCGAAACATGTAGAACCTTAAAACCCCGCGAACCGCAATCCCCTAACACACCGAACACCCAAAGGCCTCGAAGCCGGTTGGCAACGCAACGCGGGCAATCGCCACAGGGCAACCGCTCCACGTTATACCGATTCCTGTTCCAAGGGGGGGGGGGAAGGCGGGGGGGGGGCGGGGGAGGCGGAAGATGAGGCACGAGCAAAGGCCGAACGGCACAACCACAGCAGAACTAACGACCTAAACCGAAGCCCAAGACACAAACAAGCCAAACCCTCGCCTTGGCCCGATTGGCCGCGGAAGCGGCCGATTGGGCCGGTGACGCTTGGTAGGGCTCTCATCTCCGTCGCCAGAATGAATCATGACCTCGGTTCACGCATGCAAACAAGCGAAGCCACCCCAAAGCAGAACTACGAACCACAACAAACCCGATCCAAGGAGCGGGAGCGTCGCTGCTACCAGAGGCGACCTCCTTACAGCCACAAAGCATGCGGAACAAGAAGTACAACGCAAAACAAGGGAGAACACAAAACCAGCCAAGCTACGACGGCCAAATGGACCTCGATTCACGCATGCAAACAAGCGAAGCCCCCCCAAAACATAACTAGGAACCACAACAAACCCGAACCAAGGAGCCGGGGCGTCCGTGCTGCTTGGGGCCAACTCCTTATAGCCACAAGGCACGCGGAACAAGAAGTACAACGCAAAACAGGAAGGAACAAGAAACCAGCCAAGCTACGACGGGCACAGCAGGTTCCGCCGGGAAATGATCCAGTGAGGCCTCGAAAGCAACACACCAAGCAAACCCAAGAAGAAGCAAGAAACAGCAAGACAAGCAATGCGACCAGGTTGCAGCAATGTCCGCATCGTGGCGGGTCGCCTCGCGACCGAAAACAAAACCCCAAGCCCGAGACCTTAAACTCTAAGCCTGAAACCCAGACACCCTAAACCCCAGCCCTAGAACCCGGAAACCCTAAACCCAGACACCGAAACACTGAAACCCCCAAACCGTAAACCCGAAAACCCTAAACCCTAACCCCAAAATCCCGACAGGCCGAAGTCACCCCCGTCCACGAGCCCAACTGGAACACTAAGCCGCCCACGTCGTTCTCCGGAAAATCGTCGAAGAGCTCCGGGAATTCCGGAAACTCCTCCAGATGCAATGCCAACCACCACAGATTATGTAGAAACGAAAACCCGAAACCCCGAAAGCACAGCCACAGCCCGCGACAAGTAAAACCAAGGAACCGCCACATCCCAATCGTAGACCTCCGCCTCGGATTCCTCTTCCTCGTCCCAGGCTGCCTCGATTTGCGTGCCAACGAAACCCGAACCCCCGAAAGCACGCTCGCAAACCACAACAGCCTAAACCAAGGAACACCGGCCGCGACCTCGCCGTCGAGGTGCCTAACGCAATAGGAGGCGAGGGTAGAGAAGGGGACAGAAGGAAGCAGACGAGTAGAGCTCTGCCAAAACGTAGGGGGCTGACTCCCAAGGGACTAGAGGTCGATCGGAATCCGACGACTCCGCATTCACGGGGTCCTGAGTCACCACAAGAAAGCAAACCGTGGCAAGAGAAGAGGAGATAAAGAGAAAAGAAAGAAAGAGAGAGATAGAGAGAGATCATCAAAGCCAAGACACTTCGGGAGAGGCAACCGATGCCACCGGAGAGTCCTAAGTCAAGAACGACCAGCAACAAAGAGTGTAAGCAGATGGAGAGAACGAGAGACGAGGGAAACAAAGCCCCGCAAGATAAACCACCCCAACCAAAGCCAGGTTGCTGCTGCAACAGGAGGAGCGGCCGGCTCCTAAGTCCAAAGTTGCCGACAGCAGAAGTGTAAAGACAAGGAAAAAGTTGGAAATGAGAGGGAATGAGAGAGAGAGAGAGAGAGAGAGAGAGAGAGAGAGAGAGAGAGAGAGACAAAGCCAAGACACTTCGGAGGATGCGGCCGACGGTACCGCGGGGTCCTAAGTCAAGAATGACCAGCAGCAAAGAGTGCAAGCAGAAGGAGAGAGAGAGAGAGAGAGACAGAGAGAGAGAGAGAGAGAGAGAGAAAAAAAGAAAGAGCGAGAGAGAGAGAGGGAAAGGAAAAAAAGAGAGGACACATGGCCAAGGCACAGTGGGCAACGGGGGGGTCACCGGCGCTTCCTAAGTGCAGCCCCACAGCCACAACAAGGCGAAACAAACCGCAAAGAAACCAACCAACCACCCCGAAACAAAAGAGGCCAAGTAGCGTGGCCCCTCACCCGGGCCTGAGTCCCACAGAACACGAAGCAGAAAAAGCTAGATAACAGCACATTAAGCCAAGTGGCACACTCCGGCGGAGGAATGTTCCTCCGTGGCGCCGCCTGGAAGAACAAAAGGCAACACTACAAGGAAGCAACAAAACAACAAACCGCCGGAACGAGCCCACAACAAACCAACCAGAACGAACACCCCGAGCAACCCTTCCGTGAACCACTACCTTTCAAATGCAATCCAGGAAACACCCGCCGCGATGATCAGCGCCAGAATCACAACAAGGCGCACCATCTTCTCAGGCACCTCAACAAGGGAAGCATACAGTGAAAGAGAGAAGAAGGAAAAAGAAAAGGGACAGACATAGAAAGACGCGATGCACCTGTGAGAAGAGAGATAGCAGCGATGCGAGGTCCAAACTTTGAGCCAATTGCTGCAAAAGTGCCGTGAGATAAAAACCCGAAGATACAATACGGCCCCTGAACTAACCCCGAACCCCAAACCCAAGCAAAACTCTAGACCAGAAATCAGCGATCCGGAACACAAAGGCACCCAAAACCAGGAAGGAAACCCGCAGAGGAAGCGGAAATACCAACAAACAGAGACCCCGTGCGACAAGTTTAGGGTGTAGGGTTTTGGAATGTTTTGACCAGCAAGACCCAAAGCCTCAGAATTTGTAGGGGGCCTTTGGGGTTTGTTTGCTCGGGGCGAGAGGGTTCCGCGCTCGGGGCTCAGGAAGGTCTGGGTCCAGCGTCTTTGTGCCTGCTTTGTGGGGGCATGGCATTGGAGGTCAAAAACCCTTAAGTGCCTCAACCCCAAGCCTTGAAACCCAAGTTTTACAAACCCGGGTTTAATCTCTTCCGCAAGGCTTTAATTTGAATCTTTTCAAAACCTCCGCCACAAACGAGCTAAAACCCTCGACAGCATCGAGAAACCCTGTGCTCCTCCACTGATCCTTTCGCATCTTCTCCAGAGAACGAGAAATTGCCTGGGATTCTCCCAAATGTAGGGCTTGGGGTGAGAAGCCGCGGTTTGTAGCTTAGAACCTACGGCTTCTTTGCGGGGGCTTGCAATTCAAGGCTTTCGGGCTTTTAGGCTTCTGGGTTCTGCAGATTTAGTAGTCGAAGAATTTTGTTTCTTTCCCGGTCTTGGGGCTTGAGGGTCTTGGGGTTCAGAGCTGAGGGTTCAGCCGTAAGGCTTCGCCAAGCAGTCTTGTTGAAGGGTTTAGGGTTTAGGGTTTATGGTTTAGGGTTTAAGGCTTTATGGTTTAGGGTTTAGGGCTTAGGGTCTGCATCTTCCTACCGATGCTCCCGCTTAGCCTGCACAAGAGCGTTTGCGACGTCAGCGCTGGAACGGCACTCCAAGATGCGCCTCCCCACTCTGTGAGGATCTAGGGGTAAGCACTCAATCTTCAGGGCTTGGGGAATTGCCGCTTGTGGAATTTAGTGTGCCGCTTTCCAAAACCTGAGCGGTTTGCGGAAAGGTTCGACTTCGCACTGTACCCTGAACCCGAATCCCTAAACCACGTACCCGGCAAAAGCCGTGAAACAGAAAACATTGGCGTTCCTTCTTTGGCTTCCGACGCGCAGTCTATTCAGGAGGAATCCGCGACAGCACAGTACTTGTGTGGCAGAACTCTACAGTCAGTATGGTCATGCTCTTGGCAAACTACTCTTCGGAAACGTGACCTCCAGGGAAATCGCAGCTTTCAATAAGCCGCCTGAAATCTCAATCCTGACATGAACTGAGGCAGGAACAAACTGCATGGGACAGGCTGTCTGATGGCCACTACAGTTGATAAACTGAGATTTTTAGAAAGAACTATATTGACAGTTTTGAAACAGCATTTGGAACAAAGAGAAGCAATCCACATGCAACCGAGAACCCGAAACCCTCAAACCCTAAAGCCCCAAAACCTAAAGGCCTAGACCCCAAAGCCCGAAACCCTACATCCTACATGTTTGCCTCGCCTCCTTGCTGCTCTGGACAAGGAGATCGTTCAGGTCTCTACCTCAGCTTACGATGTCCGAGGGTTTAGTTTAGGGTTAAGGGTTTAGGGGCTTAAGGGTTGGGGGTTGAGTTTAGGGCTTCGCGTTATTGAAGGGTGAAGGGTTGTTGAAGGACTGAGGGTGAAATCCGCGGGTACAATTTTGCCTGCCGGCTTCTCTGCTGGGTGCTGGGGAGTGGATAGATGACAGCGTGACGACGTGCATCTACCAGCTTCTTGCCACAGGACATTACTCCTCTGAACCGCTGTTCGAGCAGTCTCCGTGCTCCATGATGAACATCACAATCACCGAAGCGAGACCGCCAGCAATCTCTTCCACATCCGTTGCTATCCGCTCGCATTCTCGACAGCGGCTGGAAGATTTGAAGACAAGATTCTGGCGAAAAAGCCCTAAACCCTAAACCCTGAGCCGAAGCCCTAAACCCTGAGCCGAAACCCTAAACCCTGAACCGAAACCCTAAGCCCTAAGCCCTAAACCCAAACCCGAAAGCATTGACCAGAAACCCCTTGCACCTGTTGGCCGGGTCCTATTCAATACTGGAGGGGCCTGAATGATTAGAAGAGGGCTCCTGTTGAAGCTTGCCGTAAAGTGGTGTTCGTTAACCGTTAAGGGATCTGCTAGAGTAAGGCCTGCACACTATGGGGCCGTAATCATTCGATAAGCCTTTGCGTTTGTGTGAACTACAAATGTCATAGAAGCCCACAGGAATCGTAGTGGGAGTGTTTGTCATTATTCAGACTTCTTGTTGTACCATTGGAGCCTGAATGATCACACTAGGCTTTCTCCAGGCTTTGTTCTGCACATCCAGTAATGCTTTCTCGGGAATAGGATTACTTGCTAGGTATTCAGACCTCTGCATCATATCATGCTAGCCTTGGAAAGCCTGCCGCTCACCCAGACCTTCGCCTTCACCTTCTGCAGTCACCGCTAAACTCGATTTAGGATTCCCAGCCGCAAGCCAAGAACCCTAAACCCTAATCCTCCAGGGGCCTGGGCCTTGCAGCCTAAATCTTGAACTCCGAAATGCCGATCCCCCAAAACCCACAAAGACGCGAGGGCACTTACAAACAAACGAGGGTTGAAGGTTTATTACAGCACTGGAGTAAACAATCATATGGTCCAATAAGGAAAATTGCTGCAACTTTTTCCGGCCACTTTTTTGACCCTGAAACCCTCCAAGACTCTCCCCAAAGCATCTGAGAGCCCGACCCAGAACGTCGCTCCCACTGCGCAGTCCAAGCAGTTCCTGGCTGGAGGGAGCTGTAAACCAGATGCTCAGCTCAAATGTAGCCTAATGGTAGTTAAAGGATCATGGGACTTACCTTAAATTGGGGTTATAAGAATAGTTACCCTAATAATAACTCTGGTTACTAAGTCTCGTGACCCTATAAGTAGGGTTTGTACAAATCCCACAGGACCGAAGGCACTTACGCAGCCCTCTTCAAGTAGCGAAGCAAGGAAAGAACGAATGCTAATAAACAACACAACTGATGAACACAGAAAAACTCCGTATATAGGCGCAATGGCTTGCAGCTTTCATCGCGGTTAAGTTATTGATGCTAACAACTCATGCAGCCCTGCTATAGTTGTGGGCTGGGGCGGCTTCTGTTCCGGCATGCGCGATTGGGGTCTTGGACTTTGGCGTGTCGTAGGTGATTCTCAAGTCAGGACAGATCAGAGCAATCTGATAATCGTTCGAACAAAAGTACAAGCAAGAATACTCTACGAAACACAACAATAAAATCACGTTAGTCAGCCATAGTCCGAAGAGCAAAAGTGGCATTTCGTCCTCTGGTCTTCTGCAAGCTTTCGTTGATTCAAGTTTGGGCGGGCCTCGGAATCTTGGAAAAAAACCTTGGGGGCCTGCCTCAGGGGGTTTTGTGTCCTGGTATTCCGGAGGACATATGGCACCTCCATATGGGTGGTTGTCAAAATTAGGGTCCCCTTTTTTGGGTCCCTGATTATCATACGGCACCTTATATTTAGGGTACCCAAAAAGGGACCCTAATTTTGACAACCACCCATATGTGCCACGCAGCCTTACATGTCGTGTGATGGCACAAACCCTTCTCAATGCAACAGGTAGTCGAACCTCAAGTGCGGAGCGGACTCGGTGAAAACTGAACCTGAAATCTGAATCGTCTAGCAATCAATTGATGCGAAGATGCCAGCGCGGACTCGTTCACTCCTCAGTATCACAAGCAAAACTCGACCTTCAGAGTAGGTTGTTACTGTCTTACCGGTGACTATAACGAGGATACCTTACGGCAACGTCACCATCACCATCATGAACATTAGGGTCGTCACCACACATCGCCATGATCACAGCGATGACAGCAGGAAGCGGTACATAATTTGTAGCAGTCGTCGCAGGTAGTGTACAAGTCGTGGGGGCGTCAAGACAGCAGTGGTATGTCGCGGCAGTGGCAGTACAGGTAGTAGCGTGGTGGTAGTAGTAGTGCAGCAGCAGCAGCAGCAGCAGCAGCAGCAGCAGCAGCAGCAGCAGCGCAGTAGAAGCAGCAGCAGCAGCAGCAGCAGCAGCAGTACTAGTAGTAGCAGTAGTAGTAGTAGTAGTAGTAGTAGCAGCAGCAGCAGTAGTAGTAGTAGTAGCAGTAGCAGTAGCAGTAGCAGTAGCAGTAGCAGTAGCAGTAGCAGTAGCAGTAGCAGTAGCAGTAGCAGCAGTAGTGGCAGTTGTACCGGCACCGAAAATCCTAGTCTTGGTCGTGATACTGCGGTATTAGCAGTAGGATTGGCAGCAGCTGCTGCAGCAAGCAGCAACAGCTTCAGAGGCAGGAGTCGTGGCCGTCATCGTCGTCGCAACACCAAGAGCAGCGACAAATGCTATCATACGCAACAAGCACCATCACAGCAACAAGTGAACACGGCTATAGCGATGTACATCATCACGACTCACGATCGTCACCATCACCATCATCAGCAGCATCATGACGGAAGGTGAGCTGCATCACTCCTTACCATCAGCATCACCATTATCATGCTGTTCCTCGTCATCTGCTGAAGGATTTCAAAACATTTCGCAAGGGCGTCGAGACGGTGTCGAGCAGTTGAGCAAGCTAGTGCTGCTCTGTCGATGGTTCTGTTGGTTGTTTCGGAGGACAGTGCGCGTGGTATGTGTTAAGTCCTTTGTTGTAGACGGTGATCTGTCGAACGCAAGACCGACGTATAGGCCAGGAGCACCAGGTTTCCACAAGTGCCCTGCATCTCTTGGGCGACGCTGCATGTATATCTGAATGTTACATATACCCCAATTGTCGGCGAGAATCTGGTGATTGTGCAGTCTATCTGAATGGCGAAGATCGGCACGTGCGCCAACTTGAGAATGGCATCGAAGTCCTGCAGTTTAGGAGCTTTTGCACGCACAAAAGCAAATCCAAAATAAAAACCATCATGATCGCTATCCTCCAACTCAATGACTAATAGCAGTACCACAAGCAAACTTGTTACCTGTGCAGCATTATCCTGCCATCATGACTGCCATCAAGATACACACAAGACTGGAATGTTACTGTAACATGCTTGAATCAAGACCAACCCGGGGCACTCAACTGTAACTGTGTTGACGATGATGACGACTGCGACTAACACGAAGATGATGAGGGTGGTGACCATGATGACAATGATGATGATGATGATGATGATGATGGAGACGACGATGATGATGACGACGACGGCGACGAGTAACACGAAGATGATGGGGATGGTGACAATGATGATAATTAGGGTGATGCTGAAGGTGATGAGGAGGAAGAGGATGAGGATGATGGTAATGGTGATGATGATGATGATGATGATGATGATGACGACGATGCTGATGCTGGCGTGACCCTGATGATTCTGACCAGACGATGGCGGCGATGATGATGATGATGATGATGACGACGACGATGCTGATGGCGAGAAGAATAACGGTGATGACGATACTGATGGTGATGGCGATGATGCTAGCGATAGCGATGGCGGGTGGCGATCAACGAGAACAAAAATGGTGATGATGGCTCGTGGTGATGGTGACGACCGTCTTAATTTGACCACTATCGTGGGCTGCTTCCTTAACATCAGGCCGACAAGAGCTACATGAATAAAACAGCTGTATCAAACCGAATCAGAGTGTCGATGTTGACTGGAAAATTGTCGACCTCAGCAAGGCCTTGCACGATCCCCCAGAATGTTGTTGCAGCCATGCACACTAGATGCTCAAACCCTAAACCCTAATCCTTGACCAGGATTCCGATGTCTTATGCATCAGGCGTCTTCAGGTCGTACCAAGGTTAGGAGTGAGGAGCCTCGGCTCCCCCTAAACAGTGTCAGCTAGGGGCCTCAACATGTAAAATGGGGCCCGGAATTAAAAGAACACTATATGGGAGTTTCCGAAAATAGGGGACCCGAAAAAAAGTACCCTAAATACTAGGATCCTTATAAAAAGGACCCCCAAAATAAGGTACTCCCATATTTGTAGTAAGGAACCCTCAGGAACGGTATCCCAGCCTTCTTGTACGCGACGGCTTCTGCGTACCAGAGGTGGATCGTCTGCGCCTCGGTGCTTTCGCTGCTTTCGTTGGGCAGAAAACTAAGCCCACGCAACATCTGAGCCACGCAATCCCACTATCAAGGGCTGCAAAACTCAGGTCGCTTACCAAGGGCTGCCATATTGACTGCGTGGATATGGGATCATTGCTCAGTTGTTATAATGGGCGGCATGTTTTGCGCAACAACCCCAGGTAAGACAGTGTTCACAGTTCACATAATGCCATCAGAATGCAGGAGCCGTAACTCTCTCCGATTGGCAACCATACCAGCTTGCAGGCTGACTGACTAGCTTTGGCCCTCATTCCCGACCCCAAACCCGACACCCTAAACCCTAAACCCCCACCCTTTAGGGTTTTGGGTTCAGGGTTCAGGGTTTAGGCTTTAGGGTTTAGGGTTTAGGGTTTAGGGGTCGGAGCCTCTGTCTTCCCCCACATTGAGCCTCGAGAACCCCAACCTTGCCATCGAGACTCATCCTCCGAGCCGCGGATGAGTGCTAGAAGGGCACCCTGCAGCACCTGCGGGATCCAGTATTCAGGGTTTAGGGTTTTAGGGTTTTAGGGTTTAGGGTTTTAGGGTTTAGGGTTTTAGGGTTTAGGGTTTTAGGGTTTTAGGGTATTAGGGTTTAGGGCCCCGGTTTAAGGTTTAGGGTTTTAGGGTTTAGGGTTTAGGGTTTTAGGGTTTAGGGTTTTAGGGTTTTAGGGTTTTGGGTTTTAGGGTTTTAGGGTTTAGGGTTTAGGGTGTTGCGAGAGTCTGAAGGGCTATGACATGCTGCAATTGCGTGCAATCGGACGTTCACGCGACACATCGGCTTTTGCGTCGCTTCATGTGTAGAGCCGTAGCAATGGAGTGGAGTTGCGGAGACATGCTTCCCTCCCACCGCACAGAAGCCTACCGAAAACACATTCATGTAGGGACGAACTATCACGCAAATATGCGGTCAGATACAATATCGTCTTTAGTAACATACCATAAATGATATACGCCTATGTAACTTGTATGCTGTAAAGCCTACAACATACTACTATATGTACCATACCCTTGGGACGGGACTGAAACGATCCTGCCGATCCGTCAGTCAGGGCCTTGACAGTGGAGTCGCAGTACGCGTAGATGTACTGCTCCAATTGCAGGCCAACGACCCCGAATCGGCCCATGAGGAAAACTATGGTGTAGAACACGAAGGTCAGCACCCTTTGCAGACAGTTCGGTAGCTTTGAGCATTCTCATGCGCGTTGGGTTTCTGTACTCCCCCCCTCACCCCCATGTAAGCATCGCCCAAGCTCCAGCTTCAAACAGATTGCAAAGTTTAGTGCTCAAAAAAGATACATACCAGCAAGCCTGCACATGCGGGCCGAAAGGAGCTATTGCGAGATTGCTAGACAGCTTGAGCGTTGCATTCCTGACTACCTCTGTCGTCAGTGCTCCCGACGACAGAGATGATTGCGACTGTTGGTGTTTTGCAGACACAACTACGACAGCTACTGCCACCACCGGTAACGTACTGCCACCACCTGCTCGGTAAGGATCTCTTTCTTAAAGGCTCCCCGAAGCATTTGAAGAATCTCAGACACTGCAGCGTCAACCAAACCAGCTTGTCAAAAGTCGAGGCTTCCAAGCCTAACTCGAAGCCGGAAACCCTGCACCTTAACCTCCGAAGGCTCAGCGAAGCCTACTCTTTTGAGGCCGTGGTGCTGATAGATCACCATACAGGTCTTCATACCATGAAGCTCCAGATGCCGACACTGCCTGAGCTATGTTACCCTCTTGGCGGCTTCACGCATGTTCCTGGGCCCCTTGGTGCTCCAAGTTAGGCAACAGCTAGGTGACGGCTGTGGGGATTGGATCAAAGCATAATTAAAGTGAAAGAAGCTGAAAAAAACTTATTCAGGTGGTTTGCATGAAACCGTGTCCCCGCAAGGTTTGGGAGATCTGGCTAGGGAAGTAGCTCTACTGTAGGCTCTGCACTATGGCAGGCATCACCGGAAATGAGTGATGGCAGAGCGTCGGAATTCAGGTTTTCGACGACGGCCACCACCACCACGCCGCCGCGCCAGCCCACCACCACCGTCACAGTGCTGCACTCTTGCTCCTACCCTTGCCCGCGATGGCTCCCTCCGCTGCAAAGACGAGCATGATTTGCCGGTGCCCCAAACCCCGCTGTCATCTATATACACCCTCAACCCCAAACCCCACAAGTTATCTGCGAGGCACCAGCAGAGTCGCACCTGGTCCACTTCAGCTAAAACGAAAGCTACGCCGCTGGCCGCGAGAAGTGGCCACCTCCGGCCGAGGGCTTATATATAGGGGTTCAGGGTTTAGAAATTGGGGTGCGGGTAGGGCTTCAGGGTTTTGGCCCTTGCTATGAGGACACTGCTCTTAGCAAGGATGCCACCATCTGGGTTTCTAGAGGGTATCTACCATTTGCATAGATATCTTGGGGATCAAGACATGGATGCTTCGGAATACTTCGGCCTCTTATGAACGGTGCGACAAACGGCTTTAAGACTTCAGAGGAGTTTCGGGTGCAGGTCTTGATAACCCTAAACCCTAAACCCTAACCCCTAAACCCTCTCAGGCAAACAGCCGCCCCGGCACTTTATCGGGCCTACCTCCATGCGTAGACCGGTGTCACCTCCATCAGCCAGGAGAGCCAAATGGAGAAGAAGACAAGGACTAAGGACGGCAGCGACCGCAGGAACCTGCCGAGTTAGCGTTTAGCCTGATATTCGGGTTCAGGGCTTATGAGTTTAAGGGTTTAAGGATTTAAGGGTTGCGGGTTGGGCGTGATTTGGGTTTAAGGGTTTGCGTTTCGGGGTCCAGAAAGCTTGCGAAGCCAGTCTTAAACCCTAGAACCCATGCCAGAACCCGAATGCCTAAACTAAAACCTATCCCCTAAACCCAACCCCCGAACCCTCACCCCTCAGCCCTGTCCAATCGGTGTCGCGCTTAGGCTCTCTGCCATACGAACTTGCCCCCAAACCTCCAAAAGAGGCTGAACCCTGAGCCCTACAGTCTACCCTAAACCCCGAACCTTAAACCACCTTAAACCCTACCTAAACCCTGAACCTTAAACCATCTTAAACCCTACCTAAACCCTGAACCTTAAACCATCTTAAACCCTACCTAAACCCTGAATCTTAAACCATCTTAAACCCTACACCCTCTCAACTCATGCACGAAGATATTTTCCACCGGGGTGCGTCGCACGAAAGCCCAGCTCGGCAAGAAAGGCCCTGTTCGATATCAAAACCAGAGTTGGGACTGCCAAGGACCACCTGGGGTCAAAGGCTTAGGGTTCTGGGATTGGGGTTTGGGGTTCAGTTTTTTTTTGAGCCCTCTTTTCCTTCTGCCCATCCGTAGGGTTCAGGGTTTAGGGTTTAAGGTTTTGGGATATGGGGTGTGGGATTTTGGGCTGATGGGCTGAGGATGTAGAGCTGCGGGGATTTGCTGAAGGCTTGGAGTTCCGGTAGTCTCTGGGCTCTGGGGGCTTTGGGGTTTGGGGCTCATGATACGGTTTTAGGGTTTAGGCGGCTTGGGGTTTTAGGGCTACGTGCCTCCCGGACACACCAAGTTCTAAACCAGGAACCTGAGCCCGCCCGAAGCCTTGGACAGTGATTCTGATGGACCCAGAACAATCCTGAAGCTCTCTGAACTTCAAGATTTGAGCGACACAGAGCCACTCGCAAATAGAAACACTAAACAAGCCGCACTTTCCTGATTTCTAGCCACCATGACAAGCCCTAGGTGTTTGGAGCTTCAGATCTACTTTTCCGAAGGTCCGAAAGTGCTGCTTCTGCCTGTTTCTACCTTCTATACCCTTACCGGCAACCCCAATTCTGCTGGGGCGCTGTGCAAATCGCACAAAGTAGACTGGCCGCGGCCCGCCGACTGCGAAATGGTCAATGTGCACCAAGCTGGGCATCTTCCAAATGCACATCCTCACTTTGGCACGGTAAGTTGTTGAATCTTCAGAAACCAAAGGATCCGGTCATAACATAATTTCACCGGGCTCTCTTCTTCGTCGTCGTTCCCAACCCCCAACCCTTTACCACAGCCAATCAGCCCCAGACCTACAGGGAACTCCAGAAAGTTGGAATATGGTTTCTTGGTAGGATACCTTATAATTTACTATAAAGGGTTTAGGGTAATCATATTCCAACTTTCTGGCTTTTACTTTAAAACCAAGAAAAGAGAGTTCGGCAGCGAGGAGGTAGCAAGGGGGTTGTTGTTCCCAAATAAGCCGATCTTCAGCACGCAGAGTTGGCTTTGGGTCTTTAGTGCTTCGTCTAAGGCTGCTCGACTGTTCGAACTGTACCGCGAAGCATGACGCTCTCACTTGATCACCATTAGCATCTATATCCGAATTTGCCCGTGAGGGTATTCCCAAAACTATGCAGAATCCCTAAACCCCTAAACCCTAAACCCTAAACCCTAAACTCCTAAACCCTTCCTAAACCCTAAACCCTAAACCCTAAACCCTAGAGAAATTGGGAACTGTGGGTTGAGGGCTCGGCTGCCGAGGATCCCACAAGCCAGCTTCAGGCCGTACTCAAAGAGTGTCAAGAGCGAGTCCACGACTCCTGAGCTCTGCTTTGCTGTCTCGATTTTTAGGGACAAAGGTTTGAGGAGTTTAGGGTTTAGGGGTTTAGGGCTTAGGAAGGGTTTAGCAGTTTAGGGTTTAGGGTTTAGGGGTTTAGGGCTTAGGAAGGGTTTAGGAGTTTAGGGTTTAGGGCCTATCACCCTGCGTTGACAAAGCAACTTCAATCGCCTGTCGGCAGAATCGCTTGTCCATGCCCTGGTGTCAACGACTCAAGCTGGGGGTGGTCGTGGTGTCCGGAGCTTTGGCTCGCTTATGACTACAACTAGTCTGAATACTATTGGCACTACGATGATTACGATGATTATCGCTGCTGTTGTTTGCTACTACTACGACGACGACGACGACTACTACTACTGCTACGAATACCACTACGTCTACCACTACCACTACCACGACCACTACCACTGCCACGAACCAGTACAACTACCACTACCACTACCATTATTACGACGACGACTACTACCACCACTACCATTTTGACGAATTGACAAATCGAGTGCGTGAGCTGCAAATGTCTAATGCGCAATGCATGAACTGAGTGGAAACCCAACTTGCGAGCAGCGAATGATACACAGCAGGACCCCTCAATCCTGGACATGTGAGCATCATAACATAGTACCCACTGTAGAACCTTGAACTCCTAAACCCCAAACCCTGAACCTGAATGAACCCTAACCCTCTGAACCCTAAACCCCTACACAGCTCTTAAATAACCACGCGCCGACACCTTTTGTCAGACCCAGAAGCGGTGGTTCGCCATACGTCCACTGAGGCCCGCGTCGTCGGTCTGACCGAAGAGAAGTCCTGGCAATCATATATAGAGTATGCAATGTGTAATGCAAAGGTTGTATCTATATGTATATATACCATTTATATCATGCGTACATGAACACATACAGAATTATACTTATATACCTACCTACTTACCTACTCTGTGGCAACCATGGCCATCGGGGCGATCATCTACATTACGCTGCCAAGTAGCGGTAACCCTGAAACGGCAAACCTGTCAAGGCAAACCCAAACCCCACAAACCCTCAACCCCAGAAGCAGATTAAGCCCGAAACCAAACCCAGAACTCCAAAACCCCAAAACCCTAAAAAACAAAAAAAACATAAAACTCCAAAAAAAGAAACCCGAAACCCTCAACCCCAGAACTCCAAAACCCTCAATTGCCCACCCTCGAGGTGCCTGTCCACAAGAAGCCTGTTTCCAGCACAAAGGCAGAGAAAACGAGCATCACTGCCTAGGGTTGCCGGGCTTAGGCAGGACAGAGGCCAGAATGAATGGGATGGGGTGTTGGCGGCTGTGGACCTGGAGCTGTTAGAATACTGCTTGGGGGTATCCTCTACCGCATGCATCAATGCGTAAGGAAGGAAGACTGCAGAATCATGGAGGCGATGGCTTATGACTCATGACTCAAAGCACACAGACAAGTTTTGCAGAAACCGGATTTTTGACAACTTAACTAGGTATACCGTGGTGTACTCAGCTAGGGAGTATCAGGGTGTAAGCTCTTTTCGAGGGCAGCTACGATTTGCAGTTATGGTACTGTGGATCGCTGACGGCTGCCCACTGTTTCTTGGGGTGTAGACTCCAGGGCCCTTACAGACAGAAAGCCTCCAAGTAGCTTAGACTTACAGTAACCCTAAACCCTAAACCCTAAACCCAGTAGAGTAATTACGTGTGAATAGATGCCTTCGGGGAAGGGACTTGCATTCGAAGCTCGAAGTCCCGAAACGCTTAACCCTGAAACCCTGAACCCGTTAGGAAACCCTGCGTCAAAACCACTAAGGGTTTAGGGGTTAAGGGTTTAGGGTTTAAGGGTTTAGGGTTTAGGGTTTAGGGCAACCCTCAACATGCAACCCCTCAACCACAACACCCCAAAACCTGGAAAGCCTTATGCAATCCTTTGAGAACCCTCTGCACACCCTCAAAAGCGACCAGGAAATCCAGGGCACCGTGGCGGCGTGGACGCGAATGGCGTCGAGCTCATCCCCGTCGCGCCAGGGCTCGCTGATGCCTCGTTGAGGGTTCAGGCTCAGGGTCTATAAGAGCTGTGGGTGCAGACATATTCTCTTTTTCTGTTTGTCTTACTTTTTAGGGTTAGGTTTACGGGCCTGGGGTTGTAACTTTCCAGGCTGAGATTCAGGGATTCAGGGTTCGGAGCTTTCTCAAGCACACACCGAAGCGAGAAGCAGAAGGCCCTCTCGGGGCTTCTTACATGCAAGACTGCTAACGGCGGTACCAGGACTATGCGGCCTACATGCTACATGGTGACAGAAACAGGGCCCAGGCAACTATGTAGCACTGCAGACGACGGCGAAAATACTCATGCATGAATCTGGCCTTCGACAGCTTTAGTGTTCGGGTCCTCCATTCAGGGCTTGGGATCTCTCTGACTGTAGCTATCTAGGTTGGCACTTTAAAGCCACTGAAAAATATTCGTAAATAGGGTCCTACTAAGCCTAATAAGGGAAAATATAAAATGTCCCAAAGGCCTACTTAGATATGGTACTCACACCAACAAATTCAATGCTCGCTGTCCTGCGCAACACAAGTCGCCTGATTTTATGCTGCTTGCTCTTGCCCGTGACTGTGCGCAGAATGTCGGTACTCATGCCTCTGGAACGCTTAGCTCACAGTGCCTCTTGCTGGAACACTCAGCATTTGTGTATACTTCTCACTCCCACCAGCTACTCCTTGCTCGTGGCCCATGATGCACTGCTCCAGGCTCGTTCAGGGTTGCCAACTAGCCGCATTGTTTGTAGGACTGCCAGCAGTTGTACTGGCACCACCCTGGTCTCTCATCGTAAACCTCAAAGTCCTGACACCTGAACCCACACGGAATCTGACTGAAACTAAACACTAAAACCTAAATCCTACACCATAAACCGTAAACCCTACAGCCTCTCAATGCTTGCACTCAGCCAAGGCTCCACCATCTCGGTAGGCCACAACGAGGAACACTGCCGAGACGACGGACCAAACCGCACAGACGGCCTAGGTCTAGGTTTAGGGCGTAGGGTTCAAGGCTTTGGGGAAAATCTCCAGAGCGTCCATGCTTCCGAGGTGCTACAACTGGCCCAGCCGTGATCGGAAGTACCCAAAATCAAGCTGAACATGCAACAAGGCACAAAGTCTAAGCCTAAGCGCGAACCCATGGTTCCCTACACCCTGAACCCTAAGCCCGAAGGCTTAACCGAAATCCTGTTGCACACAGATAGCCCACACAGATGACCAGTCTTGATAATGACACTTCGCTGGCTTCGCCATCATCATCCCCATCATAGTGTCATTGTGTCGTACGAGTACTATGTTACTCTTGCTAGCGTTTTTAGTAGTAGTAGTAGTAGTAGTAGTAGTAGTAGTAGTAGTAGTAGTAGTAGTAGTAGTAGTAGTAGTAGTAGTAGTAGTAGTAGTAGTAGTAGTAGTAGTAGTAGTAGTTTAGTAGTAGTGGTAGTAGTAGTGGTAGTAGTAGTGGTAGTAGTAGTAGTAGTAGTGGTAGTGGTAGTGGTAGTGGTAGTGGTAGTGGTAGTGGTAGTGGTAGTGGTAGTGGTAGTGGTAGTGGTAGTGGTAGTGGTAGTGGTAGTGGTAGTGGTAGTGGTAGCGGTAGTTTGTGACTATTGCTATAATTGCCTTAGCTATAAGCCCCACCTACTCAACACTGAGCTGTTTCCTAAACCACGAACAACACAACTTTCCAAGCGGGACTCACATGTTGGACCCCGGCAGTATGGAGGCTTGTCCCTCGGATTCAGCTGAAGTTTCAGGGCCCTCGGGCGATTTCAGTTCAGGTTGCTTTTGGAGCTCCTTCTCTATGAGGCCCAGGGTCCCATATGAGGTCATTACGACGCAGGCTTCGGGTTCAGGGTTCACTGGCGCTGTTCTCATCGTTGCTGTGGCGCGATGCTCCCTGGCTGACCCAAACCCTAAACCCTCAACCCTAAACTCCAAAACCCTAAGCCCCAATCGCTAGTGAGTAGTTCTTGTATCCTTCCTTCATGCCATCAGGTTCCGAGGAGCCGCGGTCCAGGGGAAGAGCTCCAAAGGGGGAAGCTCGCCATCTTTCCGCGGCTTCATGCTGATCCCAAAGAGGAACTGCTATGGGGCCTATAAACAAAGTGGGTTTAAGGATTTAGGGTCTAGGTTGTTGTTTTGTTGAGGGCACCTTCCGGACGGCCTGAGTCTATGAATGCAAGGCTTTAGAGGCTAGGGCGAGGAGTCCTTTAATTTTGATGGCTCCTCGATTAGGGTTCTACAAGGGGTTGTGTACGGATTCTTGTCGGGGTTGGCGGGTCTCAGGGGCTGCAGACTTACCAGGGGCTTTCTGCCTTGGAAACCGACGGTTAACAGTTAACAGCGGTCAGACATCGGCTCGGGTTGCTCATGCCTCTTTTACCCTAAACCCTAAACCCGTTGCTGTCCACTTGCCGCCATACTTGCTCTGAGACTACTGCAGGATGACACCCGTGCCTGACCTGGCGCAACTGTGACCCTGAAGCTTAACCAATCTGGAACCCTAAACCCTGCAACAACCCGAAACCCTAAACTGGACCCTAGAATCCTTGAACCCGAATAACAAAAACCCTAAATCTAAAGCTTTCCTGGCTGCGGCGCTGATTTTTGGCGGCAGTTGCAGCAGGCTGCGGTGGGGGACAGGAAGCTGTCCGAAATTCTGCTATTTGATCTCTGACGACCCGTTCTAGATTTCGGCCACTTGAGACTATGCAGGCCTGCGCAAGAATTAGGACTCTTATGATTTGGCTGCACTTGCACGATACCTGGCCTTACTCACAACTTGACATGGGCACCTGTAAGCAGACCTGGCCGATGATAGATTTAAATTCACATCTGCGCGTGTTGCACAGTGTAAACTCGGCTTCGCCAACTGGCGAGACTTAGCGGCCTCCCCCATAGGGCTGACGCAACTCGGCTAAGCGGAAACGCTAACCGGATGATTGAAAAAGCTCGGCCACAAAAGTGGGCCGTGCAGAAGGGTGCAACATCTCACGCGGAGCCCTTCGCCGAAACGGGCCTGCAGCAGGCGACTCGGAAACTTGCCGGTGAAGGAGGGGCAAACACGAAAGCTGCCTGCAATCGTCATGGTGGTCATAGCAGCAGCGGCGGCAGCAGTAGTAGTAGCAGTAGTAGTAGCAGTAGTAGTAGCAGCTGTCGTCATCGTCGTCGTCATTACCAGAATCATTCACCATCACAACAATCAACACCAACATCAGCACCATCAATAGTGCCACCATCATCATCATCATCATTATCATCGTCGTCGTCATCATCATCACCACCATCGTCACCACACCGACCTTCGTCCTTGCCACCATCATCTGCATCATGATCGCCATCGCCTTACACTTACACTCGAAGCATAATCCCTGACGGCGGTTGAGCCAAAAGGCGACGGAGGCGGCGTCTTCCAGTCGTACATGGCGGCGAACGCCTCGGGCAGGGGACACGCCAAAAGAAGGCTTCTGGTTTCATGCTGAGAACTGTTAGTGGGTAAGGGGTTAGGGTTTTTGGGTTTAGGGTTTAGGGTTGAGGGTTAGGGTTTTTGAGTTTAGGGTTGAGGGTTAGGGTTTTTGGGTTTAGGGTTGAAGGTTAGGGTTTTTGGGTTTAGGGTTTAGGGTTGGGGGTTAGGGTTTTTGGGTTTAGGGTTTAGGGTTGAGGGTTAGGGTTTTTGGGTTTAGAGTTTAGGGTTGAGGGTAGGGTTTAGGGGCTAGCGGCTGGGGCATAGGGTTTAGAGGGTTTGGGGATCTTGCCATGCACTTTACATTGGCTGCCAGAAATGTCACAAAAGTACTCGAGAAGTTCATCGCCTCGCGCGGCAACCCTTTCCTGCTAATGGCCGGTGTGGTGGACGACCCTGCTGGTTTCCGAGGGAAGGGGAAGCCCTGACGGTTACACCATGCAGCTGAAAACGTAACCCGTCACCCAAGAAACCAAAGACTGATGCCCCCTCCCTGCTTTAGGGTTTAGGGTTTAGGGTTTAGGGCTCTCCCGTTCTTCTGTTGAAGGGGTTGCTGTTCGACTACCAACAAGACTGCCAAGGAGGACAAGTAGTAGCGGCATCCCCATTACAACCTTTGCCACAACAAATTACGCTCGGGTTCTGGCGAAGCGACTTAGCAAACTTTGGTTACTCCAGATTTAGGCTCCCGGCCATAGTGAATTTAGGGGTTGCAAACACAACGAGAAGCAGCTGACCTCATGAAGTAGATGCGAAAGACTCCCTAAACCCTAAATCCCTCGAACGGCCTCATCCTGTCTTGGGCTTTCTCTGCGGGGACTAATTTTCACAGGCTTCCGCGCTGCTTTTCCGAAACCCTACATACCCCTTTATTTTATAGGGTTTTTAGGGCCTATAGGGTTTCTATGGTCGAAAGGGCTTCTACTATCCCTGCTATTTCGTGCAAGCCAAAATTCCCTAAACCCTAAACCCAAAACCCTAAACCCTAAACCCAAAACCCTAAAGCCTAAACCATCCGAGGCCGAGGCGTCCTCTTCGGGTTCAAAGGGGTTGAACTCAGAGATCTGCTTCCGCAGCGCCTCAAAGCGTCAAAATCGTGTCTGCTTGCAACGGGGCTACTATCAGGATACTATAAGGGTTCCTTTCAAGGGCTCTTTCAGGGTTCATATGGGAGTTTCCAAAAATAGGGGGCCCTAAGATAGTACCCCAAATAGTAGGATCCTGAATATGCGGACCCCTAAAATAAGGTACCCCTAATTTTTGGAAACTTCCATGTCTACATCCTGCCGGCAGTCAGGGAGGCAAGCACAACAACCATATCAAGAAAGACCTGTCTTGAAAGCCCCTCTGCACTTAAATCACTGTAATCTCTTCAGCCAGAACCTCACATCCAGTTCCCCGCTCAGTAGAGCATCATCGGCTCAACGTGTGACAAAAGCACCGAGTCTTCTTGCTTTGTAAGCAATTTTTAGACTCAAGCATCTCATAGAATAAAGTCAGCTATGATGTGCTCTCATGTAGTGTTCTATTCTAGCTCATTTATTTAAAGTAGAGTAGGTTGAAGATGTCTACGGCCTACATGTGCAAGCTGCCTATGTATACACACATGGGCGTTGGACTTGGTGCAAGCTTGCATAGGGATGCCACCGTCTTGTTGCGCAACTATAGTATGGGCAGTGTGGGCCACAGGTTCAACGTGTAGGGTTTTAGGGCCCGTTTAGGATGTAGGATTGAAACGTGTGCCTGAAACTGCAAACCCCAAACGTCACTTCTACCACCGTTTCCTGCAACCAGAATTTCGGCTCGTACAAGTAATCCTGCTGAATCCTTGCTATTCTTGCTGTTGCTGACACTTTTTGTGCTCCTGCCCGCGGAGTGTTGGTACCAGTATGAGTATCATTATTGTTGTGTTGCTGCTGCTGCTGCTTTTGTCGTCCTTGTTGTTGCAGAGCATGATGCCATTTAAGCATAAAGATTGGACTTTCTTAGTCTTCCTGCTCGAGATAGTCGGGCTAATGCTGTAATTTAACCCCAGACTCAAGTTTCCTGCGGGTGCATGGCGCAAGTGCCTCGCACCCGAAGAAATCCTCCTCGCCTGCATCGATGTCCACCTGCGGCTGCAGGCAAAAGACAAGAGAGAAAAAAGACAGGTTGCAGAACCATGCAAATTGAAGAAGCGGCAGTCCACAACGAGAGACTCGGGTTCGAGCAAGTAGTCGCGTTGGAATAAGAACCAAGAAGACATGTTCGGGCCAGAAGTAGTAAGTTCTTCGTTACAAGGTCCCTTCCCCCTCGCCAAAACTTAAGCAACCTCCATCTGTTCGGACTTCACAGCCTCGTCCTACTGCAGGGGCCTTGGAATAAGGCTTTAATTACGGCCCTTTATACCATAAACATAATAGGGAATCCCTAAAATAGTAGAGATAATTGTTTAGGGACTTACATTAAACCCCAAAGCCCAAAACAGTCTCAGCCTCCTCCGCAGACTGAAGACTGTGCAAGTGCTGGTTTTGGAGCAGAAGACGCTTGGCAACTTGCCTCGCAGTTAGAAGTTTCCAGTTGGCTTCAGACAAAGTCTCAGTTTAGTCTAGGACCTGGGATTTACGGTGTTATTCAGGCCTTCAGGAAGAACCTGTTGTACTCGTGAAAGGGGGACAGCAACACACCAAATCTCGCGCTGGGCATTGGAAATTCGTACATCCAGGCCGCTTGCTGACTTCTCCAAGCAGCAGCTATAAACCCTGAACTCCACAACCTCAACCTCCGACCCCGAGGACGGAACTACCGGGCCTACGTCTTTCAGAAAAGGGAATGTTGTGTGGGTTGAAGTTTGGGATACAGGTTTCGGCGCCTCAGGAGTCTCAGACCCCTGACACTGATGCGGGGTTTACATATGCGGCTCAGGGGTCAGGGGTTTACGGAGTTTAGGGTTTGGGCTGTGGACATCTTCCCCAGCAGGCTTAGAAGTTACAAGGAAGGACGAGCCAACGAGGGCTCAGGGTTCAGCAGTCGAAAGAGTTTAGGGCTTGGGGCCTGGGGCTCCTATAGCCCGCAGTACTTACTGAGCACTCCGGAATGGATCCAAAAGCTGACATTATGAAAACCTAGCTCAGCAATCTTTCAACCTCCCATCAAGACCGTTTTCGGAGCGCTGTAAAGCTGCATATCCCTCTCAGCCGAGGGGCTCATTCCGCTGCCTCACTGCCGCCAGCTCCGACACGAGATGCCCCTCCTGCCACAAACCCAAGGAAGGATTCTCAGATTGTCCATACTGCTCGATTTAGGATTTAGGGTTTCTTCCAATAGTTACATGGTTTCCTGGTAATTCTCGAACTCTGTACTTCCGAGAATGGACCGATTTTGGTCTCGGGTCACTCAGCCCGTTCCGACGCCAGGGACATCTTTTCAGGGTGCCGTTCCAGTGACCTCGAGGGGCAAATGTTTTGTCACTCGCACTCGGCAGGCAGGCGAGGTTTGGGGTCATTCCGGAACCAACTGCACACTCAGCATGTTCACCGAGTCGATCGAGCTACAGCCACATGTCAGTACTTTCACCGAGCATGCATGCAAACATTAACCGTCAGACTATCTGGAACGCTTGTCGACATGTTCGCCCCTTTGACCCATTGCACTCGAGCCGACTTCCGTCAGTGCTCGTATCATGCAGGCCAGGATAGCAAGTTTTCCCACCTCCAATCTGGCTTTGCCCTCGAGTCAGGCTTGCAAGCCTTGCAAACTGCGCCCTGTGCCAAGCCCATACAACGTGCGACCTGAACCATTGTCGCTGCAAAACTTCCCACCTGAAACCTGCTGCAGACCGTCATTGAAGTCCCAAACTGAACTCAGACCATGCAACCCATGCAAATGTAATGTGAGCTTATGGTGTCACCACCATCATCATAACTATCACCAAGAGTCATCACCACCATATTTGCAATCTCATACTGAACACCCGGGAATCGCCCGCAGAAACGCTGCCGCCATAGCCGCCGCTGCCACCGCCACCACCACCACCACCCAAGCCGCCACCAGCGCCACCATCATCGTCACTATGATCATCGTCCTCGTCATCATCATCATCGTCATCATCATCATGTCCATCCACATCATCATAACCATCAACATCATCATCAGCATCAGCAGCATCATCAATATCGAATCACAATCATCAAACCACCATCTTCATCAGCATCATCACCACCACCATCATTGTCATCATCATACCCACCACCACCACCACCTTCTTCTTCACCTTCTGCAACAACAACAACAACAACAACAGCAGCGACAACAACATGTCATCAGCATCGCTGCCACGACTGCCCTCATCGTCCTCATCCCGCTCCCCCATTCATGGCCCACAGCAGCAGCAGCAGCAGCAGCAGTAGCAGCAGGTTCGTGTCAGCCGTCATCATTTCCCTGGATTATTGGCAGCCTCGTGAATCGCAATACATCGCATTCACCAACCGCCTACTTACTCGAATCACCACGCTGATATCAATCGACAGCCATGACCACAGCAGTACTCGGAAGCCGGACAGTAGCCAGAATCACAAAGTCCAAGTCGCGCAGCGGCAGTGGCAAAAAGGATCTGAAACGGAGCAGCGAGCAGCAGCAATTCCAACGGACTTACGAGCGAAAAAACACTGCGCGACCTGCAGTGAAACTTGAAACTTCTTCAATCGCACTTTGCCTACAGCCATGAACCTCAAATCTTCAACCAGGGACCGATGCCTCCGCATTTTGCTTTCGGATCTTCTTGCGCTTCTCCGGCGAAGAGGAGCGGGCTCGCAAGTCCTGCAGAAGCCTAAACCCAGACCTGAAACCCCAAAACTCACAGTGAAGGCATCATGCGTCATGAACCAGGCGCCCTCTCAGACCCATGTCTTAGGGCTTTGAGTTCTGGAGTTCTACCGTCTACTGAAGCACAGAGCCTGTGCTGCAGAGACTGTGGGCTGCTGGCGATTGGGGGATCAGTTTTAGGGAGGTTGGGAGATAGGGCACTGCGTGGCCCAGCAAGGCATGGAACTTTTTCATCAGGTCCTGTCGATATTTGTCTACAGACCAATCTAGCATACTCCTGTCATGGGAACACATGATGTGCCCCGTCGTCCCTGAAACAAAATCGCCGTCTTGGAGAACTGCAAACCATGAACCCAATCCCAAAATCCTACCGTTTGAATCTTAGGCGAAAAGTCGGAAGATCGGGGCAGCAGCTCTAAAGCCCCATTGCTACAGCAAGCTTTCTGGCTATAAACGTCATGATGTCAACGCGCCCTGCTGTAGTCTCTGTGTCTCTCTGCGTATGTGTAAGCAGACATGTCTTTCTTTATCGACTTGCTCCTTACATCATACCTCATATCTCTATGATATCTATCGACCCACTCATTCAGAGAATCTGTCAGTTGTCCATCAACGTATCGATTCATCTGTCTATCTATCTACCTACCTACCTATCACCGGTCATCTATGTACCTAGCTGCGTTTAGGTTCACATGCGCTGCTTACATCTCCCATCAACCCTCAACTCTAAGCCGTAAACTAAAGCCTCAACCCTAAAACCTAAACCACCCCCAAAACCGTAGACCCTGAACCCTCATCCCTAAAACCTAAACCAAACCCACCCCAGAACCCTTTCTTTCCTAGACCTAAGAGTAACCTAGGAATAAAAAGGGTGCCCTTTTTTGGTTTAAAGGGGTTTATAAGGGAACCTGAACCCCCAAAAAAATGGAATAAGGGCCTACTCTGGGTCCTAGTTTCTCTCTATCTTGACGACTCTCCGGCCTGGGGGCTCGGCGGCTCTCTCGCTTTCCGCAGCTCTTCCTGCCCCCCCCCCACGCCCCCCTCAAAAAAAAAAGGCGCAAGATGCAACAAATTAAGGAATAGACCCTGGATCATAATATTCGTCTGCGAAGCCAGGAATATGCCCTGAATGCCCCTTCGTTGAGGAAGATTTTCGGAAGTTATAAGACTGCGCCCCCCCTTAGTCTGAAGGATGTTTCCTTAACTGAAGGGCATGTGAGCTTTCTGGTCGACAGTTCAAGCTTCTAACTCCAAACCCCAAACCCTCATTAGGGTTGGGGTTTACGGATTTAGGGTTTGGGGTTCAGGGTTTATGGTTTAGAGGTTGGAACTCCAAAACATGCAGGCGTTTTTCAAGCCCCCACCCAATACAAGGAGCAAGATATGAACCACTAGAAATTAAAGGCAAAAACTCGGAAGAGTGGCAAGCGGGAGTGCAGGGGGTTACCAGCTGAAGGCCTGTAAACTCTTAGTACCCCCAAACCCTCAAGCCTCAAACCCTAAACCCTAACACACCAAACTCCATAACCCCTACAAGTGTGAAATCCGATAAGTTCTATAAGCCTATATACCCTATAACCATAAGCCCTATAAACCTTGTTAGTAGACCTCTAAGCCCTATACACCCCGTCAACCATGTATAAAATCGAAAACCCTACGAGCCCTGTAGCCCTGCGAAAACCATGAAACACCTCTAAGTCCTATATGTAAACCGATGAGCCCTGTTGAAACCCTTTAAAACAAAGCAGCTCCCTGAAACGCATTGCAAAAACCCACAACGCACCGAAAACCCTGAACAACAGTATATAAAAACACCTACTACAACCCCCTCCTCCCACGCGACAAAAGCAAGCCTTTCAACCCCGCCTTAACTACAATCTAAGCCCTACATCATAATTTAAAACAGCCCGTAAAGCCATTGAACGATCATCACAAGCACGTTTAAACAAATACACAAAACCCTGTCAGACGGAGCCTCAAACCGAAACCCATAGCTCCACCTGAAGCATCGCGATTTCCTGGGCTTGGTCGGCCATCTGCGCCCTCGGTAGGTTCAGGGTTGAGTATTTTCGGGATTCGGGTCTCAGGTTGAGGGTTTCGACCAAAAAGCACAAATCATTGAATGTAGTGGACCTTCGGGATTTTATGTGGTTTTATGAAGGCTAGGAGTGTTTTGCAGGGTGGCGTGGTGTGGTGAGAGAGGGCCTCAACAGTGAGGACGGGATTTGGGGGTGGTATAACTGTAAAATAACTATAATATAGCTGAAACAGAACCATAATATACCTCTCACAATAGCTATAATAAGACTATAATATAACTCTAATGTAACTATAACTAAAGGTTGCCGCCCTCCAAAATTTAGGAACTCTGGACTTGGAGTGCAGGGTTTGCGGCCTAAGTGGCTTTGGAGTTTGGCGTTTGGCCTTTCGGGTTTCGGGTCTGGGGCCAAGAACTTTTTGGCTTGGTTTCTTGAAGCGCGTTGGGCATTTCACTCCGCAAAAAGCATCGAAGTC